AAGAGTGTTCATCATGGCTTCTGAAGATCAAAGATTTCACTATTATTTGCTCAGGAATATTTTTTCTTGTTTTATAATTTTTTTTCAGTTTAATGTAAAATGGTTGTTTTAAAGAATTTCTAAAATGAGATTCGCGGTTTGGTCGATATTTGTAATAATCCGCATTGACCACAAGTGAATTTAATATATGATAATATTATATTGATATTTGCTTTTTCAAGATGGTCATAAGTTTTTTTACAGTTTTATATTTGTTTATATATATATATATATATTAAACTATAAGAATTATTTTTTATAAATTAGATAATTTGACAAAAAATTAAAGTCACAGCCAAATGAACTAATATACAAGAATTTAAATTAATATATATTATTTCCAGAGAGGAAAAACACTCATTATAAAATAAGGGTGTTTTGTAAAACTTACAACAGAAAAAAATTGGAAAAAATAAAAACATAAAATGAATCGGACAGAATTCATTTTTATGCTTTGGTTATTCATTTTAATGAGTTAAGGAGTCTCCGGCTTATTAAAACCTAAATCGCATTGGCCTTGAGAAAGATAAAGTCAGAAATGTGGCGACGAGTGATCGGAGATTCCGCGGTTCGCCGCCACTTATGGCGATCCCTCTCCAGCAAACCCACCGTCGGAGGCGGCTCGGGTGGCGGTGGGAACGTGACGGCGGCGGTGGATTCAATGATCCTGCGTTCACTTAAGGAACATTTTCTAGAAGTCTCTAAGATGACGCCTCCTCCCGTGTGTTTTTCTTCCCTCCTCCTTTCCTCTGCGATTTCTTCTTCGTAATTTGCTGTCTACGTCTTGGAATGGCGTGTTAAACCCTAGGTGTTTGCTTATGCACTTCTAGGGTTTAGGAGTGGTTTTGGGGTTACAATACTTGGAAACGTGCAGCTAGCTCCTTTTTTTGTACCTCACTGTCGTGATTCGTGGAACGTTTTCATGGTTTATGGCGTTTATCGAGCAGTGTTTTGATGGATTTTTTTTTTTTTATTTCTCGTGTTGCCGACTGTAAATTAGAGGATTGCTTTCATGGTGGACGTTCTTCTTTGTTGCAGAAAGTGACTCCTCCTTCACCATTCCAGATAGTGAAAGGTTCGCTTGAGCAAAATGTGCCTGTTCTCAAGAGGTCCTTTGGCAAGGAAGAGATCAGTCTCTACGTGATGCGGTTGTCTCACGTTGTGGGTGATGACGAGGACGATGATGGGATCAATCAGTTATTCCTCCATGTGGATGTGTCAAAACCTGGTCAAGCTGATTCCTTGCATTTCCTTTGCGGGCTTTACCCAGATGCATTGGGCATTCACTCCATATCGATGAGGCCAAAGCTGGAGGACTCAGAGATGTTAGATGTTTCCACACGGTACACTGGCCCTGCTTTCGAGTGAGTTCTTCTTCTCCTCTGCCTTCCCTTGATTTTGTTTCCTTCCACCACAATCCTGGTTTTGATGTCTTTTGATATTTCGCTCAATAGTTGAAAACATTAGGTTCCAGTATGATAATTTAGCTGTTTTGCTTCTCTCTTATCGGATATGTTGCCTTGCTACGCTTGGAGTCATGTTAAAGATATATTATTCTTCGCCAGTTTTCATTTCCTGATTTTGATCTCTAAGTTGAAATGACATTCATGACATGGGTTCTAAACTATATAGGCAGACATAATTCTTTACACTTTGTGATGGATGTTTTATCGAAACAGGTTTCAAGTTCAACATTTCACAGTCGTCTGTGTTTTGAAATGACTGTTTTCTTCTTTTGGAATCAAGCGTGATTTCGAGAAACAATTTGCACAGAGGCTAACATCTGTATTACTTTCAGTCATCTCCAAGCATTTTTCTGGTCAACGCTGGGAGTGTGAATTCACACTCATTGTTCATTGATCTCTAGCTTGTTCTGTTTACTTCTTTAATGCATCTCTCTGTCTTAGTGTCTTCCTACTGAACTTCTATACTCAGTCTGTGATGGGAGTAACTCGATACAACATGATACAAATAATGATTGTGTGCATTTGGACAGAGAGCTCGACGAGAAGATGAGGGATGCATTCCATGGTTTCCTAGAGGAACGAGGTGTGGACGAGAGCCTTTTCCCGTTTCTTCAGGCATGGCTGTATGTAAAGGATCACCGCAATCTGTTGCGTTGGTTCAAAACAGTTGGCACATTCGTCAACGAGAAAACTGCTTCCGGGTAAAGCTTTGGACCGAAAAGATGCATCTTTTCATGTTTTGGTGGTTGTCACTTGTTTGATCGAGATGTGAAGTGTATGTCCTGTTTTAGACAAACAAGTGTTGGGATATTCACAGTTACTATGAGCTAGTTTTTGTTCTTACGTCCCGAAATTTGATGACTTTTGCAAACCTGTTTCCGACCCTTTATAGATAACCAGTAGAACTGGAACGAGGATGATACATTTTATTATGAATTTTTTTTATTATTTTTAATTTCAAATCCCAAGTTTTTTCATAGTTTTGCGTTGTGAGTGTAAAAAAATATCTTATATAAGTCCCGATTACGCGGAACTTTCTCAATCAAAAAAGCAAAGCAATTGAGATTTTTACACAACAAAAGACATTTACAGAGCAAAAGATCCATTCACAGTTTTTTTTTCTTTTGTTCCCATCCTCACGGAGACAGACATTACCCGCCCTCGTCTCCTTTCGTGTTCCTGTCCTGTCCTGTCCTGCTCGTGTTCTCTCCGAGGCTTTGTTCTAATTGAACACAGATGTATAGCTTGTATAAAGACGAGATCTACAGAACGTTGTTGGCCAAACCTGTCTCGACCCGATTGTCGTTCCCCGAAAGCGATCTCAAGATCCCGGGGCTTGTAAGGTCGGAATTCTTCTCCCCGACTTCAGCCTTGCATAGCGGGCACGAGGCATTGATCTTCAACCACTTGTCCACGCATTCCTTGTGGAAGAAATGAGAGCACGAAAGCTCTCTCAACTCGTCGTTGTTTGCATACTTCGTCAAGCAAATGCAACACACCTGAAACCACAACAAAAAAACGCGTCATGGGTCACATCCCCCACCCTAAATAGCTCGAGGAGAAGCACCACCGGACTGAGATTTCCGACAGTTTTAACTCACAGCGTCTTCTCCTGAAATGGAACGTTCTTTATCCGTTCCTGCAGCCACCACTCCACCTTCGCTGCTGCCACTTGACCCGTTCTCGTCACCGCTACTTCTGCTTTTCTTCAACTTGAACTTATAAGTCGGCAATGCGTTTATCGACTCATGTGTGGCACCCCGAGGTTGTGCCATGTCCTCTCTATATCCGAGAATCGAGATTATGCAAGGCAAGCAGCAGCAGATCGTCGTGCAGAGGATAAAGGGCATAGCATAGCCGATACAGCTGAAGGTAAGGAACACTAAACATAACCTGCAAAAAAAACAACGGAATAAGATACAGCTGCAAGCCCGGGTCTGAACTGGAAAAGTGTGATTACAGGAAACGGTTACCTGTACAAGTTAGGAGCCTCGGAAGCAGATGAATGCCCGCCAAATATCCATACGTTACCTACCACAAACCACACCGCGAAGAAACAATCCAATGCCATTTTGAAGTATTCCACGAAAACTTTAAGTCTGCATAGCCAAAACCGAAAGACAACAGATGAAACACGACCAAAAAATCTGTACGTCAAGTTGAAACAGATATCCCGAGTTAAGTTAAGAAACTATACTATACCTAGCAGCGGTCAAAAATACAGCATTTCTACCCCTGGGAGACATGTTATTGCTCTGCCGACCATCCCCTTCAGATGTCCGAGCGATTGAGAAGGCAAAGGGTCCTGCCGCAACGTTAAGATTAGGACGATGCTGACCAGAATCCTGCTCCGCGGCATGGTTTGAATGATAATACCGCCAGTACAGAAGTGGCAGAGTAGCGACACATCCGGACGTATAACCCACGATCCAAGCAAACAACGGGGCACGAGGATGTTCATGCCTCGACAAAGACAGAACAACAATGGCTGCAATTATCTGGCCGAGGGTGAGTAGTAGCTCAATGGAAATCCACAGACCGGAATTCAACGGACTTCTCCTTCGACGGGTATTTCTAGAATTCGATCGGATAGCAGTAGAAGCTGTCAGTGGCTGTGGCTGTGGTTGTGGCTGGGAAACGGGCATTTGAGGCGCACTTGAAGGTCTCTCCTCATGCTGAAGAGGCTCTAATACGTTCGAGATTCTATCGTGAGACGGAGCTGAAGAAGATGCATTAGCTGCATTCCTCGGTATGTCGATAATGTGCTCACTACGGCTAATGTTCTCTGGTTGCTCCATGGAATATATGAAAAACTATCAACTCGACTCCTTATGTGTTGTTCTTCCAGACGGCAAACACCCATCTAAGGGTACCATAAACTTTAATGGGAGGATTATATCTTCTGCACAACAAAGAACAGAATGAGTTTAGATCAAAATTTTGATATTTTTCATTGCTGAAACATAAATATCAGTTCGGAATCAAGAAATACACAAATCTTACAAGAAACCTAAACCTTGCCCTAAAATCAGTTCATGTTTGCTTCAGAATCAATCTCCCAAGGATTTATCTGTCAGCGCAACTAAGAACATGAAATTCGGCCCCAGGGAAAAAAAAAAAGGGACAAGAACATTCAACCAAAATCGACAGAATCGATCGTAAACCACATAAAGGCAATTCTCCAAGATTTACCCGTTAATCGGGGCCCCACCTGATCCCAGAATCTAGGGCAAAAAAATCGAAAGCAAGATCAATACAAGGACTTTGCAAATCAATCGGGCTAAAATTTAGGAACGAAAAAACCCAGTTAAGACCTAGTCTCTCTGTCATCAAGAATTTTCGCAAAACCTCAATTCGAAATTCGCAGCTAAAAAAAAAGAATATTTCACCAGCAAAATCAATAGTTAGGGCAACGTACCTCCTCCATCGGACGATCTTTCCTCCTCTTCTTCGCGACGTAAAACTCGGGAACCCGCCAAAAAAACCCCTTAAACCTAGAAAACGAACCCAATCAGGAAGAGTCAACCTTCAGCCATGGAAATCCATTGCTTCGCACAAGAGAATTGGGTGAATAAAGTTCTTCAATTATTTTAAGGTCGTTTTTTTCTGTGTTTAACAAATCAACCAGGAAAAAAAAAGGGGGATTTTTGTATAAGAATTCTCAGCCAAACAGCTTCACAAAGGAAAAAAAAAACGAGAAAAAACAATTACAAAAGGATCTTTCAGATAGTGATGTTGTCTGGCCCCTTCTTCCTCCACCGTCTTTGCCCCCCCTCTCTCCTCTCCTCTCGTCTCCTCTTTTTTTTTTTTTTTGAAGGGGAAATGAAAAATGGTAATTTCGTAATTTGACTTCGCCGGATATTTAATTGGGTTCTGTCTCCGCCGCGGCGCGTAAATATGGCTGCCTTATTTACCGTTTTGTAGATATGGTTGCCTTATTTACCGTTTTGTCACCTCATTAAATTCGGTAAATCTTTTTTATATATATATTTTTAACGCTGAATTTAGGTATCTACAACTACGATATATATTTTTATATATTCGGTTAAGAATACAAATTCTGTCGAGGTAAATTTGTGTAATTCCTAAGCGTAAATAATGAATATTGTCTCTGACTTTTTTTTTTATGGTAACACAAATAGATATGATTGAATTTTGAACGTGTACTATTTTTACAGCTTCATTTCGCACCTTTATAAATAGATGGATAAACATATCCGCGCGCTCTTCTGTTTTCACTCAAATAAATAAATTTATATATTTGAGAAAGATTTCTCGTGCTTTGATTCTTTTTAATGCGATTTAATTTGATTGATTTAATTTAATAAATGTCATTGCAATATAATTATGTATGATTTGATTGATTGAGATATAATTATAAATATATTCTCACATATATAACAAAGTTATATACGCAAATTCCAACGGGTGCAAGAGGCATATAAGATTAAGATGCGACAAACTTTACATATAATCTATATTTTGGGTAATGAAATAACTATATCCACTTCCGTCACATCACATTTATCAATGTTTTTTTAAGGGATGCTTATAAATTTTGTTATAATCCAAAATTTTATCGAATCTAATTTTAACTATATCTTCTAAAATACTCCTAAACTACTACAAGATGGATAGCATTGAGATAGAATAAACTATAAATTTTGATATATACCATTAATATCTATTATTATTAAATTACTTAACAAATTAAGTATAGTTTAATTGGTTAATTAGGTTTATTGGTTTTAATTGGGTTCACGGTTAGTTCAACCCATTTAAGTTTTAGATAATTTTTGTTGGTCCAAAAAAACATAAAATTCATATGGATTACTTTAAACTCACGGATTTTTCAGTATATGATCTCATTGGTATTTGCTATATAACGAAGTCGAAGACATGTGTGATGAAGCTAAGATTTTATACTACGGATTTAGATTCGAATTTTTTTTAAACAACGACGGATATTTTCGGATACCTAGATACAAATAAAATTATGTATATATTATTAATGTTTTAATATATTTAAAACAATATCTAAATATATTTTCAAATAAAATTATATATAAAAATGAATTTCAAAACAAGTTCCACTAGAAATATGTTTACCCTTTTTGGTCAACATATATTGTCTCCTTTACGCATAAACAATTTAAATTTTAAATCATAATTTAATCCCGGTTTAACTAAACCGGACCACAACAGCGGTAAAAAAAAAAAAAGGTTTTTGCTTTTGTTTACACCATAATTACCATTTTGACCCTCATGAATTCGTAGTCGTCGTCGTCATCATCATCATCATCATCGCCGCTTCTTATCCACTAATCCATTTTCCTTGTCTTTCAAACGCGAAAGAACAACACTTTCAGAACACAGACTCGTCTTCCTCATCGTTGGTAGATCCCAGATCTCCTCCTAATTAGCTTCGTTTTGATCTTGTTTCTTTGTGCCTTTGACTGCATTGATCTTCGATTGTGGTTCGTGATTTCTGACAACAAATCACTTTTTTACTCGGGCTTTACGAACATATTTTGTCTGGTTCTTGGTCAGGGTTTCTTAGGTTTCCGAATTCTATTTGATCGGATTTAGCTCGCTGCGGTTCTTGATCGATCTGATGGGTATCTGCTTCCCTGTAGGTTATGTGACCTTATGGCTCAGTTTAGTTGAATTTAGGGTTTTGATATGAATATCGATGTCTTACCTGTTTGTTTGCTGGTCTGGGAATTTCGTAACCTTTTTATCTTCTCAACCCAATCCTGGGGAAAACCTTCAATTTGGGTTGGTTTTGATGTGAATACGGAATCTGATGATCAGATTTGGCAAAACGTATCCAATGCATCCTTCGCTGAGTGATGAATGTTATCCCCGAAGAATTTGGGACTCTGAAATTCTTCTGAATAAGCTAAGATTCAGTTTCATCACTTTTGTCTAAGATAACTAGTGCTCCTTGTTTTGAGCAATCATCTTGTCAGTGTTAGTTAGTAAGCACGTGAGTGACCAAACAGTGTTATGGGATCTGGTCCTTCTGTTGTATGTCAGATTCCTGTTGTTTTCGCCAATTTTGTCCACAGTGCGGGCATGCTTGTGTCATGACTTAACCGAGCAATGTTTTAAGCGATTTCGTCTTATGATTGTATAAACATAGTATCGAACCGGGAATCTATTGACCATGGCCATGTGCAGGTTTCGGTGGGTTAAGAGTGTTTTTGTTTGGTCCAAGATCGGGAAATCCGCTATTTTTTTTTTTGGCTGACCCAGTTCTTGTTTTTGCATCTTTAAGTATCATAGCAAGTGATGCATATGCTTGCGCAGAATTTTGGTTGGGTGGCATATAGATATCATAATGTCTGGCACGGTGGATCTCAAAGCACAGCAAGTAGAAGGAAACACGAACACTGGGGCTGAAAAATCAATGCCATCATCTCAGGAGGAGGTTCCCACCGAGTCGTTCTGTCTACCATTTTGTGTTAATACAGTGCCAGTTCTTGCTTAAGCTGCATATATATAGATAATACAGTTTATTTTTCGTTTGAAGCTCTTGTATGCAAGATTCTCTCTTTATGTTTTTTTTATGTAGGAAGCAGCTGTAAAGAAAAAGTACGGAGGAATTGTTCCAAAGAAGCCACCCCTGATTTCCAAGGTAAGTACTAAATAATTGATGTTAGGGTTTGATCTAAAGAAATCCGAAGTGTAATAGGGATCGATTGATCTTCGAATTTTCTTATCAGGACCACGAGCGTGCTTACTTTGATTCTGCTGATTGGGCTCTCGGAAAGGTTTTTTTTTGGTTATTTTCTGCTCTGTCAGCTGTTCGGAGATGTTTGTTAGTGACGACATCTTTCTAATGCACTGTGTTTCCTTATTGTCTTAACAGCAAGGAGTTAAGAAGCCAAAAGGACCCCTTGAAGCACTTCGACCAAAATTACAGGTAATGACCTTGAACGTTCTGCTGCAAATGGCTCGTTGAAGTTTCTTTTTTTTCATTTTTCCGACTGATAATCGGTTGGAGCATATATATAGATTCAGATTCTGTGGCATATAGAGAAGGGTTGCTGAGTATAAGATGATATAGATATATGCACGACTAAATGACGGCTTGTGGTGAAAGGGTGATTTGGGATGGAAAGCAAATATCTTGAAGAGTACTAGTAATGTTGATTTGTGATACATTTGAAAGGAGTGAACTTTTTAACGCCATAAGCCATAAGGCATAAGGCATACCTAAGACCTTTTCCGAGTTGGTTGGATAACGCGATCGAATTTCACTGAACTTGTCGAGGAGTTAGGGAATGGGCATAAATACTCGGTCTTTCATGGGTATGGGACGGGTTATTTTTTTATTGTCTGTCCAACGGGTATGGTTACGGTAATTAAAAATTGATGATGAATACCCGTGAATACCTGTTATCCGATGTGGTTTAAATTTGGTGGATACTCGCGATGATCAAGTCTGTTATCCGAGCTGTGCCCATCCCTTTCGAGAAGTGAACTTTACATGTGGGTTTTGTGTTGTAGCCGACGCAGCAACAAACGCGCTACCGGAAGTCTCCATACGCTCCATCCGAGGGCGAAGGTAAGAGCTTCCGGCTCCGTGGCAGTCTTATTCTCTTACTTGGGTGTTTAGTAGAGAAAGGAGAGTGACCCGTTGTGCTCCTCTTAACGCAGAGGGAGGAGAGGGAGCTTCCGGGCCGGCAACGAGTGAGGAGAGTTGAGAGAAAGCCCACTCCGCATCACAAAATGTTTACATTGTCACAAACAAGGGAACTATTTCTGGTCATTCCCTTGGAGTTGGATCATCATCCTCACTCTTTTTTTTTAAAAAAAAAAAAAAATTGAATTCTACGGCAACACTAATAGTGGTGCAGAAACATCTTACTGGCACAGATTAAACATAAGCATTTATCAAATAAATGTCTATATTACCCATAAAAAACAGTAAACGATTTCTATATCCTTAACCTTAATGTAATCAGGTGACTCTGTAAAATTTAGACCTTGTAAAAATTTAGGGTTTTATACCATTTGGATTTATTAAATCAAATGATGCTACCAAACCAATTTAATTAACAAATATATTAATTTTAATTATAAATATATTATTAGTATATATATATATATATAACTCTTACTTGGGAAAAAAGGTCAAACACCACGAAAACTAATAACCTAAAATTAGCTAGAAAATGAATGATTTTATGCATTGGGAAAAACACCCAAAATTAGATTAACGTTAAGTTTTTAACAAACACTTGAAAAAGGGACATTAACCCACAAAACTCTCCTGTCCGAACCAGTTTTTGTTGATTTTCTTCGAAAGACAAAACATTGAAAAGTATAGAAAGACTTGACACCTTCTCTCTTTAACCTCTCTGCCTTGAAACAAAAACCTAAGGCAGAGAGGAGGAGATTCATTCTTTCTCTCCCAAACAAAAGAAAAACAAAACGCGGAAAATGGCGTTTCAAGACTTTGATAAGATCCAAGAACGTGTAAACGCAGAACGCAAACGCAAGTTCAGAAAGAGGGTAATAGCCGGATCCGTTTCGTTTCTTGTTGTTGTTGCAGCCATCATCGGAGGAGCTTTTGCTTATGTATCATACCAGAAGGGGAACAACATCAGCAACAACGGCAACACCGAAAGCAAAAACACGAACCAGAAATCGCCCGTTTCCGCAACGCAATCCATCAAACACGTCACATTCGATAAGATCGTTGAAACGCTCTGCAATTCTACGCTTTACAAGCAAAACTGTGAGAAAACGCTCAAAGATAAAGCGAAGAACGATACCTCTTTGTCTAACCCTAAAGCTCTCGTGAAATCTGCTATCGAAGCTGTGAACGTGGATCTTGATAGGGTCTTGGAGAAGTTCCCAAGTCTCAAGATCGAGAACGAGGATGATAAACACGCGATAGAGCAGTGTAAGTTGCTTGTGGAGGACGCGAAGGAGGAATTGGCCGAGTCCGCGAGCAAAATGAACGACACAAACGTCGGGAACTTTGAAAGGATCGTCCCTGATTTGAACAACTGGTTAAGCGCCGTCATGACGTACCAGGAGACATGTCTTGATGGTTTTGAGGACGGAGAACTGAAATCCGATATTCAGAAGAGTTTCAATTCTTCTCAGATTCTAACGAGCAACTCTCTCGCGATGATCAAGTCGTTAGAAGCGTATCTTTCCTCGGGTTCTAAGGCTCCAATCCGTCGTCTTCTTGAATCAAAGTCCTCTGATCGAATTCCGTCATGGGTTAGCCATGAGGAAAGGCGAATGCTGAGGGTAGTGGACGTTAACCTTCTCAAACCGAACGCCACTGTCGCCAAGGATGGCAGTGGAAATTTTACAACTATTAACGACGCGCTCAATGCAATGCCTGAAAAGTATGAAGGAAGGTACTGAATAATCAGAAAAAAAACGCTTCATTTCGTTACACAGAGTGATCAATCTTCTCGACCAACTGAGTTCTCGATGTCGTGTCACCGAAAATTGCAGGTACATTATCTACATCAAGCAAGGAGTTTACGACGAAACCGTGACTATAGATAAGAAGAAGGCTAATCTTACAATGGTTGGTGATGGATCACAGAAGACGATCGTTACGGGAAACAAAAGCAACGCGAAGAAAATTCGCACTTTCCTCACCGCAACATTCGGTATGTGGTTTAACAGAGTGAATTCTCGAAGTTTATCTCGATAAAAAAAATTCCTTAATTCTCCATGAATTTTACTTCAGTCGCACAAGGAGAAGGGTTCATGGCACAATCCATGGGGTTCAGGAACACAGCGGGACCCGAGGAACACCAAGCAGTAGCGATACGTATACAATCCGACCGTTCGATCTTCCTAAACTGTCGTTTCGAAGGCTATCAGGACACGTTATACGCATACACGCACCGTCAATACTACAGAAGTTGTGTTATAATCGGAACGGTCGATTTCATATTCGGAGATGCGGCTGCGGTTTTCCAGAACTGCAACATTTTCATCAGGAAAGGGTTAAAAGGGCAGAAGAACACTGTAACGGCTCAAGGGCGGATCGACAAGTTCCAAATGACGGGTTTCGTGATCCAAAACTGCACAATTACCGCAAATGATGATCTGAAACTCGAGAAAGGTGAGTTCCAGAGCTTCTTAGGACGACCTTGGAAGAAATACTCGCGAACCGTCGTGATGGAATCCACCATAGATGACGTGATTGATCCCATTGGATGGTTGAGATGGCAAGAAACTGATTTCGCCATCGATACACTTTTTTACGCCGAGTTCAAGAACGACGGAGTGAGCGGAGAAACCTCTTCGAGAGTTAAATGGCCTGGATTCAAGGTTATGAGCAAGGAAGAGGCATTGAACTACACTGTGGGACCCTTCTTACAAGGAAGTTGGATCAATTCCATGAGTTGTCCAGTTAAGTTCGGTCTTTATGAACTTTGAATGAGAAGAAATGAAAATGAACTTGTTTCTTGTGGAACAAGTAAGGTGGTTGTTAAAAAAAATGTTAGATGATAGTTGATGAGCTAATTAAAGAAACATAATTGAAGTCTTAATGAGTAAATATTGCGATTAACCAGTTTGTTATTACTTAGAATTTTGTTACACAACAACAAAGCTCGGGATCTGTCTAAACCAAAACGGAATTTCTTGATTATGGTTGGTTAAGACCGGTTTAGATATTCATTGACCTCGGTTTCCGTTAATTGTTCCCATCTTTTGTAAAGCTCGAAAACTAAAGTGAACCATTTGATTATGGTTAGTTAAAACCGGTTTAGGGTTTACTAAAAAGAATTTCCTGCAATAATAGGTTTCACATTGTTGTTACCAATGCTACATTCTTAATGTAAACCAATGATCTAACTCGGGTTTTTAAAAACCGATATAGAATTTTGGTATATCAGATTAGTAATTTTGGTTTGGACCTGCATAGATTAATCGAAATGAATGTCTTGATTCAGTCATTTTCCCTTGCTCTTAACTACCTAGACTATTTAACTTAAACCAAGAAACGAAGTTGGATATCTCAATTCCAATATAATTTTGGAAAATCGAATATGTTTCTTTGGGTTTAATTTTTAGAGAAGTTAAAAGGAATTTCTTGGTTCACATCATATTTCGTTGTCTTTAGCAATTTCTCAAAGTTAATCAGGAACCGATGTTAGATTATTGAAAACCGGTGTAAATTTTAGAAATTCGGATCATTTGTTTTTACCAGTGAATTGGCCTAACCATTAGTTTTCCAGCCAAAATTGGCAGTAGAATTTCAGTAACCCATGTCGGTTTGAGTTGGTTTATTTATGTTGAAAGGAATATATTAATGCAACAAACATATTACACAAAACGGATGTAAATTGGGTTAAACCGGATTAGTTTTATTTTCCAGAGTACACCGACCTAAACACTGATTTTCCCGCCAAAACATTGTTTAAACACTGATTTCTTGGTGGGATCGAAAGAAGAAGAAGAAGAAGAAGAAGAAGACCGAATTGGTTATAGATGGTTAAGACCGATTGAGGGCAACGATTTCCCATTGCTGATGTTCCCAATTATCTCGTAACCTTATATAAAGTAAACCAATGATCTAACTCGGGTTTTTCAATACCGATATAGAATTTGGATTTACCAGAATACTTATGTCGGTTTCATCCGGTATGGATTAAATATAAAATGAACCTGACTCTTTACATTACTCAAAAAAATGGAAAAATGGAGTTTGATCTGTCACTTCTATAATAATTTTGAAAACCGCGCATTGATATTTTTTGATTTATTTTATAAATAAATTGAATGAAATTTCTAGGTTTAAATAATTTTTCATCTGTCTTTAGCAATCTCAAACTTTCTGAGGTTAAACAATAATCGATTTCAGATTTCTTAAAACCGATGTGAATTTTCTAAAACGGTGTTGGCTTTGTTGAACGGGTGAATTGGCCTTAACCACTGATTTTCCCACCAAAATCAGATTTCTCAATACCGGTAGAATTTTAGCCAATCGGAGAAATTCAAGGGAATATAATGCTTCATATTATCTTCTGTTGTCATTATAAATGTTTGCGTATTATGTTTCAACAAGAACCGGATTCAGATTACACAAAACCGATGTAAATTAGAATAAACCGGATTGGTTTTGTTCCACACCGACCTAAACAATTATTTTCCCGCCAAAACATTTGAAATGGGACGCCGACCTAAACACTGTTTAATGGATCATGCGGATCCTCTGCGCGACTATAAATAAGAATTTAGGGAAGAAAAAAAATCACAATATTGCTATCTCATTCCAAAGAAGAAAAAAAACAAGAGCTCTCCGATCTTCGATAAGCTCGAACAACCTTCAGCGACGACTCTCATCGTTTGCTCTTTTGTTGCTTATGTTGCGAAATTAGACGAATCTACTCTTCGGTTCGGTGGCTTTGCTCGGTGTCGCGAATCGTTGTTGAATTTCGTTTAGATCACATATTTCTCGATTTTTTTTCTCTAACGCGTTTCTCGCAGATTATTGCGATCTTGTCGGTGCTTTTGTTTCGCTTTATTTTTGTGTTGTTTGAAAATGGATGCAGGTATTAGGAACGCTTCTTCGCTCTTGAAGCTTTGCAGTCAGTGGTTATTTCCACCAAGGTTTCTTCCCGCAATAAATTCTCGCGACAATGTGAGTTGAGTTTTCTCAGTTTTCAAAATTTTGGGTTTTTCATTTTACGTTCTGAAATTTGGGTTTCTTAATTTCTGAGAATTCTTCTTTGATCTCGTCACGGGACCTTCGATTCTGTTGATTATGGTGTTTCTGAATTTCTGAATTGTCGTTTTACAGTTTTCGAATGGTTTGATCTAGAATTAGGGTTTCGATTATCAGTTCGTGAGAAAACGTGAGCAGGGTTCTTCGAGTATCGTTTTAGAATTTCTGAGTTTTGACTTAGTTTGAGGAGTAGTTAAGGTTCTAATTTTCAGTATTGATTATCAGAAATGAGGCCAGCTGTGTTTCTTATTTCAGATGGGTTTAATGCGAATGAGTTGAATTTTGTGATTCCGTTTCTTCTTGAGTATGGGTTGTATTTCTTTGAAAATTTTATCAGAGATTCACGTATATTTTCTTGCCGAAAAGTTCTAAATCCTAAATTCCTGTCTTTTACCAGGCCGATAGATTCATACCGAACAGACCCGCCATGGATTTCGACTATGCTCATTACATACTGACCGAAGGATGGAAAGAGAAGGAGAAAACGTCAACAACCACAGAGGTGAGTTCCCCATCTAGAGAGGCCTATAGGAATCAATTGGCTGTGATATTCAACATGAACCGGACCCACATTCTCGCCTTCAAGAATAAACCTCCTGCTCCCGTGAAACCGCTTCCCAGCGACCAATCTGTATCTCTTCACCGGCAGCCTAAATCTGTGAAGCCTCATAGAAACATTTGTCAGGTGTATATGCCAAGTTGCACTGATTTACATAAGATTTATCTAGTGGGAAGATCGTTGTGTTAATATTTTGATTTGCGAAACTTTGTGTAATGCCAGAAGACTGTAAGTATACTTGATGCCCCTGAAATCAAGGATGACTTCTACCTCAACTTGTTGGATTGGGGGAGCGAAAATGTTCTCGCCATAGCATTGGACCAAACTGTATATTTGTTGGATGCTTCCAGTCGTTCCATATCCGAGCTTATGACAGTTGTTGACGAGAAGGGGCCTGTGACAAGTGTCAATTGGGCGCCTGATGGTCGTCATATTGCAGTTGGTCTCAACAATTCTGAAGTGCAGCTGTGGGATTCTGCATCCAACCGTATGGTAATTCTGAAATCTCAACTGTATCTCACTTTATACGGCAAACATGTCCTAACCTAACTCAAACTTGTCGTATATACTTGCACAGCTCAGGACTTTGTGCAGTGGCCACACCTCTAGAGTAGGATCATTGGCATGGAACAATCACATCTTGACAACTGGAGGAATGGACAGACAGATCATCAACAATGACATCAGGATTAGATCACACATCGTGGGGACTTACAGGGGCCACAAGGATGAGGTATGTGGGCTGAAATGGGCAGAATATGGCACGAAATTAGCAAGTGGTGGAAACGACAATCTCGTACACATATGGGATCAGTCCATGGCATCTTCAAACTCACGTACACAATGGCTTCACCGGCTGGAGGATCATACATCTGCAGTTAAGGCTCTTGCATTGTGTCCATTCCAAGGGAACTTGCTTGCAACAGGGGGTGGTGACAGAGATGGGGCTATCAGATTCTGGAACACAAACTCTGGAGCTTGCTTGAACTGTGTCGAAACTGGTTCCCAGGTTAGTGGTCTGATATGGAGCAAGAACGAAAGGGAATTGCTTAGTTGTCACGGGTTTGTACAAAATCAACTTACCCTATGGAAGTACCCGTCAATGGCGAAAATGGCAGAGCTCACAGGTCATACCTGGAGAGTCCTGTCTATGACCTAGGTAAAAGTAGCCATTACGGTTGCAGCTAACAAAGATGATTCACAGCGTAACAATGGTTGTACGGTTGCTTCAGCGGCAGGAGATGAGACATTGAGGTTCTGGAATGTTTTCGGAGATCCAAAGGCAATTACAAAAGCTGCTGCTAAAGCCAATCCCAAGCCTTTTTCCCATGTGAGGCATCATATACGGTAAAGACCAGAGTTAGATCTGTACAGATACGTACACCTCCTGGTATTCAGGTACAGACAGATATGGAGGCTTGTGTATATTTTCACTTGAAGCTCGGGTGTATTTCGACTCTTCATTTTTATATCCAAATGTAATGTGCTATAGCTCATAGCTGTATGATGACAACTATATTATAACAATATCATGATTGAAACCGAGAATAATCAAAGTATTCACACCTGTAAGGGTCGGATACTTTGTCCTATGCAAATCGTGTACCTTGAACTCTCGTTAAATGTTCTGTAATCCAAGATTTATGCAAGGAATGTGATGGGATCAGACAGGTATTTATATGACGTAAAAATGGATCCAAGAGCTGATATTCACTTGTGACCAATCAAATATCAATCTAAGTCCCAATTTCAGGAATTTTGGCATACAATAATGAAATGACTCTACGAGGAATATGAACGCCAGTCCAGGAGCTAAGCTGGTAATGAACAGAAGACTAACATCAAAATTCATTCCACCGATCCTGAAGTTTGTATCGGACACGAGCTTAAGTAGCAACCAAATACAAGAAAGGAGGTCATTTTCCGGACAAGAGGAGGTGTTCAGCCAAGGATGGGGAAGATGCGAGCAACGTGGTCCAAGGGGACGCTCTCACCGGCATTTTTCTTGAGCTTGGGATGGTTGTATTCGTTTTGGGGCAGAATGATACTTCCGTCAGCTTTACCGACCGTCCATCCATTGTTGGCGACATGGTGCTCAATGAACTTGTCCAGAGATGCACCTTCCATGTTAACAACCTGTACAACATGTTTATCATTAGCTAATGACAATTACAACGGCGATATAGAATTGGCACCCAAAACATGTATATTCCCCCATGCTGAATTCATTTACGCAAAGCAAGTATGGTTATAATCTTGCCAAATATAGAGAATTATCGATTAAAGATAAAATCAAAGAAAAGAAGTTACTCAAACATACCTCGGCAAGCAGAGATCTAGGAACCTTTTGGTAAGTCAAGCTAAGGACGTGAACTGCATACGCTTGGATAGCTTGCTCGAAACCTGAATTTTATCATTGTATGTAAAGCCATTTATACTCCAATTATAAATAAAGCAAGCAAGCACTCCACTAAACCATGAACCCAATCTCTTTTTTTTCTGTGGGACAATATACGTATGAGCAGTTCATGAAAACTTTAGTAACCGATAGGAACATATCACATTCAGATTTTTGTTTACCAGGAACAGCTTCAACTATGTGGCGGCTCTTGGCAGCTTCATCCCAGAACTGTTGGAACCTCCCAGTCTGCAATAGCAATCAACTTGTTAAAACAAATGTTTGGCTTTAGCAGCAAGACTATGGAGCAGGTCTCGAGTCTATATTTCAAGATTTCCCAATTTGGCTATGGAGTGCAAGACTATCATTTTCTTCAAATTTAGGTTTTTTTGTGTGTGTAAGGATCAAAAGGCCACAACTTGATTTGATTTGATTTGGACGTTTTCTTTTCTGGCTGAAATTTTAAAATTTTTCTAAACTAACTCAGACATAGCATACCTCCAGGTAATGCGAGAGAACGATCAGTGTCTTGAACTGCTCCTCCATTTGCTGACAAGGAAATCCATAAAAAGGATATAATTACCAAATGCTGAACTTAAAACTTGACCCTGACACATTGAAGCCCAGTTATATACATAACCGGTGCTCACAGTCACAAAACATACAAACTTAATTGTCTCAGATATTTAGGGTAGAACAATAATCTGAAAAATAGCCAGCAGGATCAGTCAATCATGTAAAAGGTCGAAGCTACAGAAATCCATAGCTAACAATATGTACTATCATGATAAAACAATGTGCTATAAGTTGCAATTAGGATGAGTTTTCCTCTCGAATTTGCGCTAATACAATCTATCTACATAAGAAAACAAGTCTAAGCAGTAAAAGGGAAAGAATGATACCACTTTTTCAGGAATCAAGAAGAGGCAGAGGCTGAAATCTGGAGCTGGCATCGCCATAAGAGCCTGTATCCATTAGAGAAATAAGATAGGGGGTTAAAAATCAAGTGTCAGAAGAAAACAATTTCATCAGCTATCAAGCATCATACTCATGTGAATTTACTCCGTCATACCTTGATCAGGATACGAGTCACAATTTGAGTACTCATGCGCTCAGGCTCGAACTGCAGAGAGAGAACAAAAGCTGTTATGGACAAGAGTGACACGATAAAGACCACAAAGAAGAAAACCAAATGGCCAATCTTATGGACACTCAGGGCACCTGATAAAGCCGAAGCAGACAGAGAGCAGCCTCCAGACTATACGTTTGTGAAGCAACCTGACATCAAACACAGTTGCAATACAAAAAATGTTTCGGTAATTGCAATCATGAAGGGTAATCACTACGAAGGAGATAAAACTCGTACATAATCCTCAGAAGGATATGGGCTTAGAATTGGCTGGTGATACCGACAAAAAGTACAACAATTCTGTATAATCTTTACATTCAAGTTCTGTCACTTCTGGGCACACATCAAAAGAAGCTTCTACCTTTCTCAAACCAGAGAACAAGAGTTCTAAAAACAGGTGAAGAAACAACGGCACAAATCTTATAGATTCGACCAATATTACAGCTAGGTTCCCATGGAGATCACGAAAACAGAGGATGAAATTCCATGACATTCATTTCCACTCAGAATTCTAAAATTCTATGGAGATTTTGGGTGCGACTAAACCAGAATACGGAGAACTGCTGTGAAATGATACAAACCCTAAATTCTCGAGGGAAGTAAATGAAAAGACAAGGAAATTGAACCTGCTCATTGACATAGTTCTCGAGATCGGGTAAGATCTCGGGATTGTAGGGATTGAGAGCGATAAGCTGCTCCACCGTGTAGGAACCCTGCTGCTGCTGTGGCTGGACTTCCCTTCCCATCTCTCTCTCTCTCTCTCGCTCTGTGGATCTTCACGTCTGTTCCTTCCTCTTTGCGAGAAAACCTTAGTAACGGCGACTCGTAGCCAAGACCAATTTAGGGTTCAGGGTAAAACTGTCTTAACAAATCTCCCTCTATTTTCTTTTTTTTTTCCTTGGTAGCTTTTTTTTTTTGTATTTAGTACGTGTAGATTTTATTTAAAAGTTTATAATAATGCAGAAAACTATCATTATAAATTTTTACAAAATTCCATTTCAAAAATCCTATAGAAATATCCAAACCTTTTTAAAAAATTCGAATAAATTTAAAATCTGTTAACTTAACTATTTTTATTTAAAAAATATCTGAATTTTAGATTTATTTGGAAAAAAATTTTAAATCTAGATATTTATAGTAAAATTTTATAGTTTCGGTATTTATTTAAAATTTTTATAAAAATTTATGTATTTATATACGATTTTTTTATAATATTAATAAATTCAAGAATTTTATTGTGTATTGTTTATGATAGTAAATTCAATTGTTTTTTATATAATATTTCATATCAATTAATTCAGTTGCTACAATGAGAAGTGAAAAGATATAATTAAATAATACATAGATCATAAATCGTGATGGATAATTTTCCGACTCAATACATAGATAATAAAAAATTAGAATAATAAAAAAAACTCGAAATTAAGAAAAATTCTATAAAAAAAATATTAACTTGTATACTCTTGTTGAAAGATATGAATTTGGTTCAGTTTTAACAAAAAAAAGTAAGATAACCAATCAATCATACCTTTAACAAAACAACAAATACATGTTAAATGTTAACCAATTTTGAGTAATTAAAATTCGTTGTAATTAATTTTTTTTTATAAATTATAGATCTCTTAAAATTTAAGTCTTATATAAAAGCATTATATTCCGTAACGCAAATTACTTGAAGCTTTTATTCGGCTAAAGATCGCCGCAATTGATCTAAAACAGTATTTTAATTAATTAGCAAGTAACTAAGTAAAAAGTAAATGCTAAACCCAAAAACATTTTGGAATGAAAAGTATTCAAAGTTTAAGTTAAATTTGTTATTTATAACATGCTTTCTTTATATCATTCATTTAAAAAAAACATTGAATTTCTAATTTTATATATTTTTAAATATTTCATTGTTTTGGTAATCAGGAAATCAAGGTGTAGATTAATTTCGGAGATTGATTTATGTGATTTGGATTATATATTATCTCTCCAAATTTGAGAGGTTCGAAAACCAACGTGATCACAGAAGGAAATTTCGCACAGCCATTGTTGTTTTGTGCAATAGCAATAACAATCAACCAGCCGTAATCGCAATTGCAACTGCGAACAACAGTTTTCATTAAGCTTTTGAATAAAACTTCATCTATTTTAGGTTACCAAAACATTTGACGAACCACTGAACTATGGTTGTGATATGTAAATTCCACCAACAGCAACAAAACTTGAATAAAACCTATATAAAAATAAATAAATTTAAAAACCACAACAAAAAGAAATTACAAGAACCAATCATCGCCTCCGCTATTCTCCACCTTTGCTATATTTGTATCACACATCTCTCCCGCCTTTCTACCTCTTCCTTGCGCTAAAAGCAAACATTTTCTCGTCTCATTCCAACTTCTCTTCTCCGCCCAATCCCTGTATTTTCCCCTTCTTCTCTCTTTGGATGTTTCGCCTTGAAATCGTTTGATTCAAAGGCGAAAACCTTCCGTGGAGCATCGATGTCTGTGGAAACAGAGAGAATTCCGAGGGCAAAGTACGGAAACATTATGCGCTCCGACCCTATTTACCCCACCACAATACCCCATCAGGCCGAGGAAGAGTACCACCGGCGAAACAGCAGCGCTTCAGGAGTTGGAGAGGCGGTGTTCGACAGAATGAGCTGCGAGGGCTCGCCTATGATGATGTCCCCTTGGAACCAAGCCATGCCTTTCATGCAAACTCAATGGTCCAGTGTTGCTGAGGAGAAACTCCCCCAGAATGGGCTTATCGGCTCGCTTGTTCGAGAAGAAGGTCATATCTATTCTTTAGCAGCCAGGAAGGACCTTCTCTACACGGGCTCTGACAGTAAGAACATTCGTGTCTGGAAGAATCTGAAGGAATTCAGTGCATTTAAGTGCAACAGCGGTTTGGTGAAAGCGATAGTGATCTTGGGTGAGAAGATCTTCACGGGTCATCAGGACGGTAAGATTCGTGTTTGGAAAATCTCGCCTAAGAACACGAGCCTGCACAAACGTTCCGGGACTCTTCCCACGCTGAAGGATATATTCAAGGCATCCCTCAAACCGAGAAACTACATCGAGGTGAAGAAAAACCGCACCGCCCTTTGGATTAAACATGCGGATGCTGTTTCGTGTTTAAGTCTAAACGAAGAGCAGGGACTGTTATACTCTGCTTCGTGGGACAGAACAATCAAGGTGTGGAGGATCACTGACTCAAAATGTCTTGAATCAATCCCAGCTCACGACGATGCGGTAAATTCTGTTGTCTCGACAACAGATTCTATAGTTTTCTCAGGATCTGCTGACGGGACGGTGAAGGCGTGGAAGAGGGAACAACACGGGAAATGCACAAAGCATACTCTGGTACAGACATTGACGAAGCAGGAGAGTGCAGTCACGGCCCTAGCAATTAGCAAGAGCGGAGGGGCAGTTTATTTTGGGTCAAGCGATGGTTTGGTTAACTTCTGGGACAGGGAGAAACAACTGTGCTATGGTGGCGTTCTGAAGGGACACAAGCTGGCTGTGTTGTGTCTTGAAGCGGCCGGGAGTCTTGTGTTCAGTGGATCAGCGGATAAGACCATATATGTGTGGAAGAGAGACGGAAAAATCCACACCTGCCTCTCGATACTAACAGGCCACACTGGGCCGGTCAAGTGTTTAGCGGTGGAAGCAGACTATGGAGATGAGAAGTGGATCTTGTACAGTGGAAGCCTCGATAAGTCGGTTAAGGTCTGGGGGTCTTCAGAGGCCATCATGGACATGAATCAGACGGGCATGATGCAGCAACAGCAGCAGGTTATATTGGATTCAGAGCCGTTCATGTCTGATGGTAGTTTCTCTTCTTCAGCTGGTGGAGCCAGGCACTGATCATTTACCCTGATATCGTCTCTGCAAGGAAAACATCACGAGTCATCAATACGGGGTAGTGATATACACTATGGGGTTGGGTTTGTGCTTTGTTTTTGTTTCCTCTGCAACTGTTGTAACACAAGGAGAGAACGTCGGGTATAATTTTTAATGAGATAAAGTTTAAAACTGAAAACTCTTTCTAAGTTGATGATTATTGATAACTGTTGTGAATTCATTCGATGTCTTTCCACATTTGAGATGCTTTGATTTGGAAAACTGAACTTACAGTGTTTGGGAAAGAAGACAATCTTCAGTGGGAAAGCGTACGAGTGTGGTTGCCGCTGGATTCCAGCCTTTTGTTGGAGCTTAAGCCCACTAACCGACCGCTTCTATTACCAGCTGAGTTCAAATCGAAAGCCAAAGGTAGTGGCATACATCCTGCTCCTTCGAGTGTTCTCAACACCTGAAAATATAAAGAGATACCTTTGAAATGATGAAACTCAAAAACACTCAGTCAAGTTGGGTGATAAGAGAACTAAATTTGCAAGAAGATGCCCGACCTTTGACATCGTGGGTCTGGAATCGGGATCACGCCTTAAACACGAGGAGGCAGCGAAACTGACTGCATGTAGCTGATGGGTGAAGTTATCGACCTCTGCAAATCTCAAGCGTGGATCGAGTAATTGGTGCACTTTCTCTAATACTCTGTTTGGTTCAAAGTAGTTAAAGGGGTGGTGGAGCCAATCAGAAGGAAATAGCTGATCCTTGTAACACTGCAACTCACAAGCTCTTCGGCCCGTTATCAACTCTAACAATACCAATCCAAAAGCGTACACATCTACTTTCTCGCTTATAGTTCCACCATCCACATATTCTGGTGCAAGATACCTGAATTTGTTTAGAGATTTCGTAAAAACCTTATGAGAGTTAGAATCACAGATTTGGTAACTAAAAAAGATATGGGTCGTGAAATGTACCCTGAAGTTCCTATAACTCTCTCTTCGGGGCCGATACTACAGTCCGTGAACCACCTAGCCAGTCCGAAATCAGCGACCTGAATAAAACCATTAAAATTTTTGTTAACTAAATTCCATAGGCTAAACCTTAGGTTACATGTATGTGACTGCTTCATAAATAATAGTATATCCCATAAAACTTCCTAATGTACAACTAGAAAGGCTACAAAGTGATTCCTTTTAATAATTTGAAATGGAATTTAGCAAAAATCTTTTCATTTGGATTACCAACGGCTCAAAATCATGGGTTAGGAGGATATTATGAGGTCGCAAGTCTCTGTGAACAATGGATCCAACTCTACAGTCTTCGTGAAGATACCGCAAGCCTCTGGCTGCTCCGATTGCTATCTTCATCCTCGAGTCCCAATCCAATGATTGTTGCTTGTTCCCTATGAAACACAAGCACCATGGGAACCTTGAGCAGAATGTAGTGAATTTGGTAAAACCCATTTGTCCGGACAAGGAGCCTTTACATGTTATTCAAAAACCAAAAGACGAGATAAAAGGAACTGTGAATTACCATGTAAATTGAAATCAAGGGATCCATTGCAGACATATTCATAGACCAGCACTCTGTTGTTCCCATCTGTGCAGTATCCGATCAGTAAAACAACATTCTTGTGTTGGGCACAGCTCAAGAGCCTCACTTCCCTGCAGAAATCAGCATCCACTTGGGATCCAGAAATCTTTAGTATCTTTACTGCAACAGATTGTCCATTTCTTAGAACTCCTCTGTAAACGATTCCAAAACCTCCTTCAGCCAACAGATTTGAATCTGAAAACCCATCTGTTGCCTCTGCTAAAGCCTCGTATGAAAATCTCTTTGGAGGCTTCCCAAATGCGGGTGCCTTGCTTTGACAAAAAGAGCATAATGGAGGAGGTGTCGAGGATGCTCTGTTCAGAGAGACCAAGATTTTCCCGTCTGGTTTAACAACAAAGTTTTCCATATGGCTTTGTCCAAGTTTTGGCATAATGAGGCTACCACTTGATTCAGTGTCACACTGAATAAATTTTTCAAGGAGAGTTTTCGAAATTTCGGGTCTGAGTTTCTTACTTGAATTGTGTTCATTTGAAACCGGCTTCTCATCAGGAACCTGGTCATGGTTCTGAGGGATCCAAAAGACACTTCTGTCATTATTTCCTGCATAACGTCCTGGAGATGTTGACAAAGTGACAGGCTTCCTTTGATCGGAATCAAGAACTGCTGACAGGCCATGAGTGTGAATTATATCATCAACTGATGCATAACGTTTGTGCGTTGCTACCTCAAAGAGAGGATTTTGTTCGTATAAGAGAAAAGGAGGAGAAATTGTGTCCAAACTTGATCTTGAATTTTCCCTCAAAATTCTCGAAGGAGAAGTACTTGGTTCCTCTGGACTGCTAACTGGTGTACAGTTCCTAACTCGGGGGGCTTGTAACCCTCCCATACCTCCATCTGGTGAAGATGAAGCAGAGAAATACGGAGTTTCTGTACCATTAGAGGCTTGCAAGTTAAGTCTCAGAACTTTTGCTTGAGAACCCTTTACTACTACTATATTGCAGCGAAGTTCCTCTATGCATTGCCTCAGTTCCCGTTTCAGTTTTCTGCTCAAATTCAAGAGATCTCAAGGAGGTCAGTAACATAACTCAGAAATGATATGGCAAGGAGTAAGCACAATGAACACTTCAGACAAACAACTAGATACATGGTTACTCTTCACATATCAAAGTCATTCGAACGTAAATCTTTCGACCCTAGTAGTTTGAAAACGACATAGCTGCAGCAACAAGCAATGATGGGCATTCATGCGGATGCTAAAGCCACATAACTATCATGCCTTGGTGGCGATAGAAACAAAGCAAAAGGTGCCTGTCTATCCACCAAGCAATCAATGTACTTATAGAAAAGAAACAAGAACTAACACTTTGATGGAATTACTTGTCCACTATGACCCAACTGGCTCTGTTCCTTCTTGCTTCAGCTGCAACAGCATCCCCAGATGAACATGAGACTACTTTGATCCTCACTTTAACCTATGTGGAACCCATTAACCAGATTTAGCTTCAAATAAGAGAATATTACACAAATTGTTGATACATTTCTGATACAAGTAAATAACTAAACTCGGATTTATTGGCAATGGTAAATCGGAGAACGTGACATACACAAATATGTTAAAGCCATTCATTTTATTTTACTGCACAACCCGGTTCAAAAGAATTAATACCCTCACCTTTCATATCCCCAAATTATGAGATAACTCTTCCCAATTACCACATTGTTTCTAGAACATTTATGGACTATACTGTAAAAGTATTGAATATGGAATTATATTTTTTCACATGTTTAACTCAAATTTGATAATCCGCCCAAGGTTGGTATTCTGGTTCGGTTTGAGCCAATCGCACAGATTTGAACAAGATCTAACTCGGTTTCAGTTTGGTTCAAACATTTCCAACAAATTCAATCCTAACCAAGTTGCAACTGATAAAAGCCATGAATCCCAAAAAACCAAACAAAACCGAATCCAAAAAGGAGAATTTCGATTATCTAATTTTCACAAACCGGATAATCTAAACTTGTTGATGCGAATCGAACCGGGGAGGCAACGTCATTGCATCGGACCTCTCTGACAACTTAGTCAAACGAGCGACGCAACGCAACAACAACTTCTCAGACCGTATAAAAAAATATTAATTTCTAAGCATTTCCTTTAACGATAAGATTACACCATGTGCTCAACAGTCGCCCCTTCATTTATTGTCATGAAGTAATATTTGAAAACGATATTCAATAATTAGAAGAATTAGAAAAGTCGCAAAAAAGAAGAAAAAAAAACTAAAACATTTCCAACCATAAAGTAGGATAACCTGGAAAGATTCCATACGTTTAGGCATATAAAATTATTATTTCTTATATTATCTACTATCTATCATAATCCAATATCTATCACATATAAATCTAATTTCAATAAGTTATCACAATGCTAACTTCAATCTTTGTTATAAATTCTTAACTGATGTTATATTTTAGCTAAATTAAAACTTTATAATTATATCTTAAATATTTAAAAAGAAAAAAAAAATACATTATATAAGCTATCCAAATATATATGTTACTATAAAAATTTTATTCATCTATTTATTTGTTTTTTATGTATGTACATTCAACACAAAGACATACATATTACATTATTACATACAAACGTAACGCACATGCACATCCAGTTCTGTTATTTGAACATTTTTCTTTTTCGCTATATGATATTCAGAATAGAATTTCAATGGTAATAATATCTAAAAGTATAATTTTAGGAACTTCATTTTCTTGTTCTTAACATTTTTAAATATATAAGATATTTTCGTACGTATGTTTTTCTAACATGAATTATTATTACTTTGTGGTATAGATTTAGTATAAGTATCATGTGCTGTATCATGAGTCAGCGATCTCCACGGTCACATCACATGGCTATACTATGCCGGACAAGGGTATTTCTGTAAATTCTGGACTCACCTCTCTCTGGTCCTGAATCTGAAGCACCATCTGAGAGCATGACTCGGAGATTTGAAAAATCCGATCCGGCAAATTTTCCCGGTGACTGCTTCCACAATCTCCGTTCAATATCGAAAAATTCCAGAATCTTCTTCCTATACACGAAATCAGAGCACAAATTCAAGAGAACTCAGGAAAATGTTCATCACACAAAATTAAGGACAATAAAAAAAATCTCGCAACGCGACTATGTTGAAACCTGATTTCTCGCCCGGAAAAATCGCGAGAAGTGTGACGCAATCTCCGGCGTGGACGACGTGATTGAGAGCCCAAGCTAAAGCGGTTTTGGAGATCACTCTCTCGGCCTTCACGGCGACGAGAATCCTCTCCGCCGTCGTGGCTCCGCCATCGCGACGGTTGAGACGCGCCTCCACTGCAGCGGCTAGCATCGGCGGTGCGATTCTAGCCAGGAAAATTCTATGAAACAGGATCGAAAGCTCTCTCCCTTTATCTCTCTCTCTCTCTCATCAACGTGAGAGTGAGAGATCGTTGTCATGTGAAAGAGGAGAGAGGATCGATTATAATTTAACGGCCGATATACATGTGCTGTGGCAAGGAACAAAGTTGTTACTCGTTAGACTTCCAAGGCCCCACCGTCCGCCCTGTAATTTGTTTTGTTTCCTTGTTATATATTATTTTTTTAGAGAAATACTATAGAAATAAATAAACAATTTCATTAAATTAATGACTAAATAAATATTTTAATGTTCTCTCTATTTAAAATTACTATATAAATACATAATTTTAAAATTGTTAGAAATTTTTTCATAAAAATAATAACAGTTTTAAAATACATCGATTTTCAATCAAAACTTTAAAAAAATAAACACTTCAATTACAATTTGACGTTGTAAATCATTGAAAATCATGTATGTTATTTGAAATTTTTATAAATTTTATATTTTATGGTATTTAAATTTTTTTAGAAGAATAAACATATAATAATTGGATCAAATCGAATTTTTAATAATGTGGATGGAATCATGTGATCTGAATGGGGCTCGGTTATTGCAAGATATTGATGGGATTAGCATTTGGTGATTTCATGAATGGGACTTAAACGTAAAAATGGTGGACGTGTATGTTTTCATTTTAAATGACTAGTTTATCCAATCTTCGAGGTATAATAACAATTAACAAAATGCATTATTTGTAATATAATTGAAAGATAAAAACTCAGAATAAAACGAGGTCCTATAAAATAATTATATTATTTTCTTAAATTTTAAATTAAATATTCAATGTAAATACAAGCGAATTTAAAAAGCATTTTTTTTAATCTGAGGTATAATATAGTTGAGAAAATAAAAATAAAAAGAATAAAATATTGTTTTTTAGCAATAGTTATGTTTGGGAAATTTACCAAGAAATCGCACAAATCGGACACACAAACTCGGAAACTGCCAAATCCAAATATTTTACTTCCATAATTCCAACAAATTTGATTTGAACAATACAAGTTCTCAAGTCAAATCCCATATAAAATCAACTATATATAATTTTTCAAAATTAAATATAAAATAATAAAAATAATCCAATAAAACAAAAAATCTTGAAAATTAAATATTTATAATTTTATATCAATAAAAATATATTTGATATTTTTAGTTTAGAATATTCTACCGTACTCTATAAATTACGTTACATTTCTATGAATAATGAACACAAAACTATTTTATTACAATAGATACTCTATAAATTATAGTTGGATTTAAATGTTACAATCTTTTTAATATTGGTTTGGAGTATCTAAAGTATATTTATAACCTTAAAAGGAAGAATAGATATAGACCATATTTATGTAATGATTGAAGGAATAAGATTATTTATGAGTTAAAATGGAGATTTTGTAATATCTTTTACTGTGTTCAATCTCTATGATTTGAATTATTTTTTATTTCTTTACATCGGGTACATATTTTAGACTTCGATTCAACTATTTTTCAATAATAATTCTTTTAAAATTTATATTTATATCAGTTGTATGTAATGTTTTATGCGATTTATTTTAAAATCAATTTTCGTTAAATCTAAAATTATTTAGATTTCATTCAGATGGTTCGATTATTTTTTATATTAGAATCGTGTTTTTATTTTTAATAATAAATTTTTTATTTTTTATATGGAAATCAATTCGGGTTTCTATTATTATTTGATTTGCATAGACCGGAATTTGTATACTCCATCCCAAAATGACGATCTCAATTACCCAAAAATCTTCCCGTTACGGTATAAATCATCAAATTTATTATTATTTTGAAAATGAACCAAAAAGGTCCAACAAACTTTCCGCCATATTAAATCGAACCATAATATATATTACTACCCTTATCGTTTATCATATGTCGATACCAATACAGGTGATGAATAAATTCAACCACTTTTGGATGCGTGTCCCCTAACCAATTATCATATAGTGATTTTGTCGGCTAAAGCTCACTCTCTACAATTATCAATAATTGGATTTGTCGTCGGTAGGATGTGACTTTGGGCCTAAGATCCGATCCCAGTACATCCGAAAAATGATGGGTTTCAGATTTAAATTGGAAACATTTTGAACTTTCGAATTCTTATATATGTTTACAAAGATATGTTGACATATTTTTATATAATTTTACTTGTGTAACCTTGGAATCAACACAAATCAAAGAATTTTGTAAATTGTCACGGGTTTGATACGAACAAAGAGCGACTCTCCGAGTACCGCTAGGCCAGAGGGATATAGGAATGAATCGAACGCACCGAAATGAGAGAGATGCGAATGTTGTATAGGTATTGGACTACACAGTCATAGATAACTTAAAAGAATTGATTGAACTATTCATATCAACAAAATGTATCTACCTTTTCGGTTATCTAAAAGAACTCCAAAGTTAAGTGTGCCTTCTTTAGAATAGTCTTAGGATGAGTGACCTCCTATAAAGTATTTTTCGAGATATGTGCGAGTGAGAAGAAAATACGCTAAAAGATCTCGTGTTGGTGTGCGAAGACAGTTTCATCATTTTATTGCGGCCTTGGAGCGTTACATTCGGTTTTATGAGTTTTGTCTCGTTTGGGTTTACATAGATTTCTTTTCTGTTATATTCGAATTCGATTATTTCGATTTTAGAAAAATCATAACCGTCATGGTTTTTATATTGAATTCGGTTATAATAAAACTATTCATTTTAAAAAAAATTATGGTTTTTTTTATTATTTTTATTCGATTCGATTCAAAGTTTAGTTTTTTCGATTTTAGAAAAATCATAACCATTCGATTTTATATTCGGTTCGATTTTGTTACGGTTATATTTTATTTGGGTCAAATAAATTCGGGTATTTGGTTATTAACCAAATAATGTATATAGATCACTTGTGCCGATTAAGAATGCATTAGAACAATATTTCATATTAACTATAGACAAAATTCAACATAAAATGGAAAAGGAGCCTTGAGTCTTTCAGGAACGAATCCAACCGCGACGCCGACAAGAACCAGAAACGTGTTCATATGACGGCTGCGATCCTGAAAATCTCTCCCACCGCGTTGCAAGTCGAAGAGACAGATCCGTTACCGGTTCCTCCCTTAAGCGACATTACTACATTGGCGAAACATTGCTCGGTAGACGACGGCATTCCCATGGAGACAACCTTGCCGCTCTGTGCTTTCAGACCGCCGTAAGAGTTCAGTCCCCTCACGTAAGAAATCTCCATGTCTTGTTTTCTTCTTCTTGGTTTGTCTGAAGGTTTTCACCATGGCTGCCCCTGGACACACAGACCATACAACCACCGCCGTTGCCGTCGCCATATTTGCCCGTGCCCTCGAGCTGAATTACTGGAAAACATAGACTGTTAATGAATCCGAATGCTTCTAAAGGGTTGAGAATCATAATCTAGATTAACCACATTACATAAACACGAGAAAACAAAGGCTTTGACATTTACCCAATTGCTGAATCAGAGATTTTCTAAAGGGTTTAAAGATCGTAATCTGCATTAACACGGGAGATTGGATCCTTAAACAATGTCATTGACTAAGTTCTGCTGATATGTTCCTCCGCATATGAATGAATCCACACAAACCTCAAGTTAGAGATAGAACAAACAAAAGGGAGCTATAGATTTGGCGTCCGTTGCTCTAAAGTTCCACTAAATGGATCAGATTCAAATCCATCAACGGAAAAACAGATTAGATTTGATCAAACCCACAAAACAAATTTAGTCGATTAGTTCTGCTTGTGGATTGATTCACCAATCTATGAGGACTGATATAAACCTGAAGCTGTAACGCAAACACTCAATTTCTCCGGAGAGTGAATCGAATTCGGACCCATGAATGGTGAAAACAGAGGAGAAGGAATTCAAAACAGTGAAAGGGTTTTAGGGTTTGTTACCTGTTCGTCGGAATTTCGGACAAGGAAGAGAGAAAAGTGAGAGTGATTTGTAGTAATGTTTGGGATAAAGGCGTGTGCCTAAGTGAGAACGTGGACGCCGTGAGTGAGAGAGAGGGATAATATTTTATTTTTTTGTAAAAAAGATAATATTTTATTTATTTATTTTTTGTTAAAGATAATAAAAATATTTTATTTAAACATGTGGACTGATATTTTTTCGATTTTTATAGATAAGTTATGCAAAAAAATATTATTTGTCTAAAAGGATTATTTTATTAAAATTTATACATTTACACAAAATTTGTATACTTTAAATTCATCGTTAAGAAATCTTAAACCATTACATTTAGACAAAAAAAAAAATTCTACCCTACTACATTTATATATAAAATTTTACACTATTGAATGAATCATAAAAAATCCAAAGTTATTGTAGTAACATAAAAAGTTTTACATTTTTAAATTTATTACAAACAAATATTTAAATCTTTCGGCAGAACAAATCATATAAAAATTATTATTTATTTTCATACATATGATGAAAAAGGTTTAAAACTATTCAATTTAAAAAAAATACATCTTTAATATTATTAAATCACATAAGATATATTTGTTATATTAAGTTTTATATCTTGGATAAAAATAAATATGAAATAAAATAGTAACTTGAATGATAAAATTTATTATGTTTTTATTATTATTTGAATTAGATTTGAAATATAATAAAAGTATGGAAAACTGATTATTTTTTAAAAGAGGTAAATCAAATCAACGTTTAATATTTTTAAATCAATTTATATCAATATATGGGTAAATACCGGTTGAGTTGTTTGCAACTGTTACCTAGAACCCATCATGGGTAGCTCAACTGGAAAAACGGGGTGCAAAGCACTTGTCCCGCACCAAGTTCGAGCCCCAGGGTGGGGAGGTGAGCAAATATTTCAAAGCACATGGCTTGCTCCCGATCCGGAGATTAGTCTGGACTTCGGCTCAGGACGCTCCGTTATTCAAAAAAAAAAAAAAAAAAACTGTTACCTAGAAATATCACGGATTCGAGTCGAACAATATACATGGCAGGACTCTTGTCCGTACCCCCGTTCAACAAGATGTTTTGTTTTGTGAAGTGGGATGTCTCTTTATCAATTTATATATTAAACATTAACTATTTTATGTTATTTTATAAATAAAAAGTATGATAAATTTAAAACAGAAATTTTTATAAATGTAATAGTTCATTTTTTCTGAATAAATACAATAACTGGTTATTTTTTTAATAAAATTTTAAAGAATGCAGACTTATTGTATAGCATGAAACAATCCCTAAATTAGTGCAACAAATACATGCACGGAACTTGACCTCGTTGGTTTAGTAAAGATTCAAACTCAGAAAATCTGAAACTTTTTATTGAAAAATTATAAATTAAATGATAAGAACATGGAAAATGATCCTAGTCCTTGACGAAAAGTTCTAGATTTTTTACGTTTACATATATGATATTTTTTTAAAAAAATGGGATTTTTAATTATTATATTTCATCGCGTAAATAATGTATGGATTTGGAATACGAATATCGATTTTATACACACTACACTACTTGTGCGGTGACCTCGTTCTTATTAATTCAAGAATGCAGTTTTTTTTTTAAATAACAAATTTCATTGATTTTTTTTTTTTTTTTGAGAAATTCGAGAGAGTGAAATGCACGCGCTAGAAGGAGAGAGAGTGAGGAACAGAACTAATACATTGAGTGGATTGCCATTTGGAAGAAACTCCGACCCTGTTTTCCATGACAATGGCATTGATAAATTTGGGAATGGCATGGGACAGTCTCTCAAAAATGTCCTGCGGACCATCATCATCATCATATGAAACACACATACATAAATTTCAAGAGAATTTTTTTTATAATTTAAAATAAAAAATATCCAAAATATTTACAATATTTTTATAAATTATTAAATATAATTGTATAAATTTTGACCGAAAGTCGTCTCTCGTTTCTGATAGATTCTCTGTTTTTTTATTTTATTATTATTGTCCTTTTTCACAGAGCTCATGCAGGTTTATGCACTGCCTTCGCCCATTTTAATTGTCAAATCCTTTTTCTCCACAAAAATACAAAATGATTAACGCCTTCTTTTGCACATTTGATTCCAACACAACGCACATCCAAACAAATAAGGGGTTTTCGTCATTTTATCTAATCAGTTTTTTTTTTCCAAGCTATATAAACAAATTGTTGGAAAATATATATTATTTAGAGAAATTTTCAAATGTGAAAAAATGTTTTTTTTTTATAAATATTTTTGGCCTCAGTCTTCACTTGCTGTAAGAAAAAAACCCTCAATTCTTCCTTTATAAAGGAACCCAAGAAAATGTATTTGCAAATTCTTTTTCTTCTTCTTCTTCGCCATTAAACCTCACTCCCTCCTTCTTCTTCTTCACTCTCTGCAGCAATGTCAATGCCATTGTACCTACAGCCACCGCCGGCGACGGAGCACTCCTCCTCCTCCTCTGCCGTACCCTCCGGAAGCTCCGTTGGACCCTTAGTAGCCGTCCTTGTCGTCGTCGCCGTCCTCTGTGTCATCGCCGGATTCGTCGGACGTATCTGCTCCGGAAAAACCGTTATGGGTTTCGGAGAGTACGACATGGAGAGATGGGCGGAGAGCAGATGCTCTTCTTGCATAGACGGCCACATTCCTCCGCCGCCTCCACCGCCGCCGGAGCCGCAGCAGCGAAACTTACACGGCGACTCTGAGCCGGCGGTTCCTGGACAGGACACGGCTGAGACCGGTGACAGATAGCAGCCTCAAGAACATCATCCCACCTCCGTCGTGTTCTTCATCTTCCTCAGAACAATGAAGAAGAAGATCTGAATTCATTTTCACTCCGCCTGAGAATGTGTCGTAAATCGGAAGTTTAGTGGGCCAAATGGTCAAACATTTTTTCGAAAAAGGGTGTTTTGATTCGTTGTCTTTTTGAAATGCTAATCATTTTCTTGTTTCTTTTTACCGAGACCGTGAAGAACAACAAATAGGAAATGACCTCCATGACAGACAGAAGAAGCTCGGTTAAGATCGTCCTAAGTTTACTCTGGCTCGGTTCCCTCTTTTTCCAGGTTATGGTTAACCCGGTTTAGATTCGGTTTGTATTGGATTTTTAGTTAAAATCGGTTTTATTTCAAGTCCGGTTTTCTTGGGACGGGTTCATATTCGATTCAAACAAGAAGGAACATCGATTTTTAGTTCCAAATGACAATAAACCAAACCGAAGTAGATTGAAACTTACTTCTACATAACAAAAGAGTAATTAAGCACAAAATGGCTATATGCTCAGATTTCTGTTCTTCTTTATAGTTTTCCTTTCCAAGAGAACTAACATACAAAGATCAAATTCCGAAGCATACCCAAAAGCCGCGACTATGCGAATGTGAGGATGATATCTCGATCGAAACTTGCATTCGGGTGTTCAGACGGGAGACAACCTACTGATCCTGAGAAGGGGATGGCCGCTTCATCTTGAGAAGATGGGAAAGACCTGCAATGACATGTCGACGACTCCATGGGACACCGGTTTTGGCCAACGCTCTCCCGTCTTTGTCCAACAGCACGAAACAAGGGACGTAATTGATCTCGTAGTGGAGACGCTGCATTTGTAAAGGAATATGAACCTCTCGAGTTAGCCTGAGCACTGTCCACCAAATCAGCTACAAATGTGATATTGCAAGGATTTGAGACCCAATGTGGCATGAAATCTTGTCAATGGGTTCTTGAAAATGATGGAAATATCGGAAAATAAAAGTGCGGAAGCTTTAGTCTTTTGAGCATCCGTAGATCAAGAAACCAGATCAGGACGAGGGCGAGGCCAATAATTGGTAAAAACCTCCGTTTGGATTCGGTACAGAGATACTCCATAGCTATAGCATAGCATGTTATGACAACAATGACTCTACTGAAAATAACGAGATCAGTAAGAGGGCAAGGTCGCGAATGCCAAAGAACATGAACACAATAAATCAACAGATCACATAGAGTCAGCTCGATAAATTCGTCAACAAAAGAGCAGAGATTATTTTTGTTACCTCGGGCATCCATTTCTCGTTCTCGGCATCTGCCATGACAACGTTGAGCCAATTCGAATTCCTCTTCTCTACCTCCAAAACAAAGTTCAGCAAAGAGTTGCAGAGTCTGCATTTCGGTGAATAAAACTCGAGCACGGTAGCCTCCTTCACGCTGGCTAACGCGGCGGCAAATGCCCTCTGCTCTGCTTCTCCCTGCTCTTCGGCACTTAGCACCCGTTTCTTCGGTTTCAGACTGTTGTTTCGATCAGTCCCAATGACATTCTGAGGGAAACCAAAATTACTAATCCAGGAGCTGGAAGATTTCGAAAACGAGCTCAGGGAATCGAGTGCAACGGAACCGAGGCTATGCATTGATCTGAACAACCATGGGCCGTCGAAGTTGCAGACGTTGGAGGATTTGGAGTGGTTGTGTTCATTCCATGGCCACTTCAAGCAGAACAAAGACGGCTTCGACCCAGAAGAACCCGCCATCGGATCTAACAAGAGTGCCCCCTATGATATGAATTTCAGTCAAAACACACTCTCTGCAGTGAATGATTTAACAAGAATATAAAATGGTTCGAGTTCCTGAAAACAATTCAGAACCCAACACCAAGGCGATGGAAATCTCTAGAACTAACGGTGCAATCAATCATTAACCCATCAAAATTTCTAAATGAAGAGGTTCAGAAAGACGGTGAGAGAAACAAAAGAGAACCCTAAATCGACGATACAAATAAAAGTGGACCAAAAAATTCGGCAATTACTCCCAGAAACAATCTCGAGCAGCGACAACCAGAGAAACCCTAGAATCAAGCAACAGAACATGAATTAGGAAGAAGATGAAATCGGTAAGCGAAGTTACCTCTTCACGGCTTGAATGTTTGGCTCTCTGCGCCCAAAATGGTCCAACAGAGAAAATTCGTTCGACGCTTCGCTCGGTCGGAACGACAGCAAATTCAGAGCGAAAACGAAATCGAAACCAAGATGAATTCTAAAACGAAAACCAGACAACACCTTGAATCCTTTGGCAATTAACGTGGAGGACGGCGATTTCAGTGCCGAGTGTCGGAAGAAACTGACGGACGATAGGTATTAGGAAGTCACTTGCTCGTTAGGGTGGTTTATTTGGGCAATGATACCGAACTGAATTAATTGAATTACAATATTTTGGTTCGCTTTGTTTTTTTTTTAACAACCAATTGGTTATAAATTTTGAGTAATCATTCGGTTTGGCTCTGTCAACCATTTGATTATTCATAGTAATTTGGTACAATTTAATTACTTCCGTTCGGTTTAGATTTTTAACCCTAACCAATTAAATCCTGAGTTTACCTTTACTCCTTTTTTTTTACTACCGGAAGTTTTTTTTACATCTTCTCCAAAAACAAATTAATTTAGGGTAGACGTTTCGTGAATCGGTTCGGATTCGGCACGGAAATGTATCGGTTCGGTTTTTTAGGTTTTATAAAAATAGATACCAATTTGTTTTTATATTATGTTCGGTTCGATTCCAGTTTTTATTAAAAAAAAATAGATTTTTTAAAAAAAAATCGGATTTTCAATATTTTTTTAAAATTCGGTTCGGTTCGGTTTGATTCTGTAAAATTCGGTTTTCTAAAAACAATATCATTCGGAAATTTAGAACGATTCAGATAAAAAAAAATACAGTATTTTTCGTAAAGGTATACCCCTAAATTAATTCGGGTAACCATTTGGGGTTATTCACGAGGTATATCCTTTTGTTTGACATCAACATCTTTAGTGTGTGAATGAATAAAAATATCTTTAATTTCAAAAATATTAAAGTATTATTATTTAAGTCAAAACTCTATTAAAAAGAGTCAATATATTTTCTGAAGTTAAAGCTTTGTTAGGTTCAAATATTTGTTTAGTAGATTGTGAACTTCAATAACCATGTGAGAATAGATGTTAGCTTCAATAATTAATATTATGTTACAAAATATGATCCTATAATATATTTTTTTACCGGTTGAACTAACATACGAACAATTATAACTTGTTGGAATATTCGTGTCCCCGTATCAATCAAAAAGAGAAAAAATAAAACCAAAAGATATAAAACAAAATGAAGATATTACAAAAAAACATTAACAAAAAAAAATATAACATCTTCAACGTTAATGTAAATACAAGAATTTCCAAGAGCAGATGCATTGATATTGTCCAAACTTTTTCGGGTTTGGTAAGAATTTAAATTATTTATCTAATTTTTATTGGTTTTTCAATGCTATCCACAAAGCGACCAAAAAGTTAAAAGTCACATGTAATACTCTTTTACTTTTTTGAACTTGTGAAAGTTAATTGTATCTTTTATGATTCATCCATGTCCACAAAATCCACGTTTTTTTCCTTAAACATTTGGCCAACCAAGAGTGAAAAGAAAAATGGCTTCAAAAATTTTGAAAACTGTAAAAAAAAATCATGAGAAATCAATTTAATTTTTCTCACAACATATTTTTTAAAAATCTACAAGATTTGACAGTCCTTGATAAAGAACATTTGGTCCAATTCTATTTTTTTTCCGTTAAAATGATTGTATATATATAATAAGGTTTAAAATTTTGTTGAATTCCAATTAAAAAGAGCTGAAAATTCTTTTAATGTATAAGGCAGAAAAAAAGATCAAATTAAGAACTCTTAAATTGAGGGACATGGACCACATTATATCAGATTGGGACAATAAGGGAACTAATAATCAAATTACCAAACAATATATATTTTTTTTCTCCAAATTTCAAAATCGAATCTAAACCAACAAAAGTGGGAAACAGCTTTGCTTCGGCTATAAAGAAAGTGTTGTTCTAACTGTGAAAAAGTCTCTTGTCTACGTCATAAAAAAAAAACAAAACAAAACGTGGCTGTATGGTTTATTTATATTTTAAAAATTCAAAAAAAATTGTTATAATGATTTTAAAAATGGAAATGGATTTATTTAAATTTGGGGATATGAGAGACAGGCTGTATATTGGCAAAAGGTCTCTGAGAAAGCGCGTTCGTTGGTCTTCTTACATCAATCAACCGCACTGCCTCGAGCGCCGATTTTCCTTTTCTATTTTTAATAAAAATCATACCAATCCAAATATATCTCAAATTAGGTGCCTATATTTTAAATTTTAAATTGGTTATTTTATTTTTCATTTTTTTTATATGGGATTTCTCTTCAATCTTAGGTTAAGTCTATAAAAAAAATATTGATTTTTTAGTAAAACTTATTTGTTATTTTTATATTTATTTCGAGTTTATTTTGGAGATTTGAATTTCGGTTTATTTCCTTTCAGTTTCATAGCATAAGATCTAAATCCCCACTCTTATCTGAATACATTTTCACTATAAAAAAAAATCTAATAACATAAAAATAAGAGTATTAACAAAAATGATATAATAGTATTATTTCTTTCCTTGGCAAATGTTAGAAATCTTGAAAGCTAGTATTTCTTTTTAGGGTATATTCAAGTAAACACTTTTTTTCATGAAATATGCCAAATAAATACGGTTTCCTTTGAGACCGAACAATCTTTTATTATTCAGCATATATATTGAATATTATTATATTTGTAAATATATGGCAAGTCTACTTTTATTACATTTATATAACGGATATTACCTTATTCAAACCAATATTAGATTATATATGTGTATATATATGTATATATGAAAGAAAAACCCTAAAAAGTCGTCCAATATATTTTGTGTCAACCTTAAAACATCAAGAGTGAATTATGCTTTGAATATAAATCGAAATGGAAATCTTTGAATGTACTCGAATATCCGATTCTCAACATTTAGTTGAAAAGTTGCCTTAGCATTCGGATTCAAAGGGTATAAATATGGACAAAATTTGTGATCGATAATTATTCACTGAATTTATAATTTTGAGCACGTACTAAAAAACACGTTTTTTTTTTTTGTTTTTGTTTTTGCCCACAAAAAGTTTAGGAATTAAACAAAAACCATTATCTAATAATGAATAATAAATATTAACAATTACAAATAACAGATTTGAAAGATCAACTCATTGAAACCCCGAACCGCTCGTGAACGTGGAACTAACGTATTCCCTCACTTCCCTCGCTATCACTTCCTTCATCGTCTCCCAGAACTCCGCCGTCACTCCCTCCTCCGTCCTCCCTCCGCCGCCGCCGCCGCCGTATCCACCACTCCCCGGCGGTGCCAAAGTCAACGCCGTCATCACCTCCTCCTCCCTCTGCATTTGCGTCTGCGTCTGCCTCCGCTCTCTTGCTCGCCTCCTGAGCGTCGAATTCCAATGATTCTTCACCGCATTATCTGTGCGTCCGGGGAGGAGACGGGCGATCGTCGCCCACCGGTTTCCGTACCGTTCGTGAGCGGCGAGGATGGTCTCGTCTTCCTCCGCCGTGAACGGCCGGTGCTCCACGGCGGGGCTGAGCTGGTTGCACCACCGGAGCCGGCAAGATTTCCCCGACCGACCCTTTATGTGTTTGCCGATCAAAGACCAGTTTCTTGGCCCGTATTTCTCGACGAGTCGGGTCAGGATCCGGTCTTCCTCCGCGCTCCATGGACCCTTGACCCGACCGGGTTTCTCTCGTGATGGAGAGTTCTTGTGGGTGTTCGAAGTGTCTGAAGACGAAGATCCCGATGAAGACGATGTCGGAGATCCGCAGCGGTAACTGCTCATTGTCACGTCCATAGATTCAGTTCAGTTCTACGTCTGAAGCCTCTGTCCGAAACAGTGTGGAAACTGACTCTGTAAGAGAGAAAATCAGAGTACAGATTGAGAGAGAGAGAGAGAGAGTTCATGTTGGGTCGAGATTCAGTGTGTGTGAATATATATAACCGTGGGATCATGTATATGTGTATGTATATGTATAGGAGAGGAGGGTTCCAGGAAATTGGGCTATGTAAAGTTGTTAGGATGTTCTCTAGATATTTGTGCTCCCTCTTCCGCTGCTCCTTTTGTCTATTTTCCTTTTTTTTTAAATTATTATTTCTGTGCGCTTTGCCTGTGGATTTCGACTTATTAAAAAAAATAAATACAAAAAAAAAGGCTGAGATTTGTATGTAAAATGCGTCACTGATAATTCCTGAAACCACGAGCAATGGGTTTTTTTTTGGGCAGTGGTACGCATTTCTGTTTTTGTTTTTATGCTCCGGTACACATCGGTTTTTAGGGTTTGGTTTGATAAGTTTTGGTTCGCATTTTTCAATTTAAAATAAAATTTTACATTCATTAATTTTTTTTATATTTGTTTTGGTTTTAGATTGAATTCAATTTTTTATTCATAAGTATTTATTTCTATAAAGTATTTTTTATGTTCGAACTGAATTCAATTTTTTTCATTTTAATAAAAATATACATATTCAATTTTATACGGAATACAATTCCGATTAAGGGTTGCTATATTGTTTTTAACCGAATAATCGAACAGAATCGAATAAGATGCACCCGTAATCGAACCGAATCTGACTAAAAATCGAACGGTTATGAATTCTTTATACCCGAAAAAACTAAAACCAAATTGAACCGAACTGATTACACAAATAATTAAAAAATCGATAATTTCTTTAAAAAATAAGTCTTTACAACAAAATAATTGAATCCAGGCCGAATCAAACCGAAAAATAACTGAATTAAATTGAACCAAAATTTATATAAAAACCAAATGGTTATAGTTCTTCTATAACCAAAATAACTGAACCCGAATATAATTTAACTGAATCTGAACTAAAACCCGAAATGGATACCGCTAATTCTGATATCATAAATGTTGTTTAGATTTAGTTTTTTAATTATCGTAATATAAAATAATTACATCCACAATGGTATATTATTAAACGTAAGAAAAAAAAAACACATAAATACTTGTATCATCTCAATTTCCCAAATATGACACAAAGTGCTAGTGTAGTTCACACTAAAAAAAAGTGTCTACGGACCAAAAAAATTATTTATAAGTTAACCCATTGGCCTAAATCCAATAGCCTCCAGCTCATTCGTTGACATTTCGTACATGTTACAATTAGTTGTCTATAAATTATATGTTACCCATTTAATTAACGGAATTATAAAAAACTTAATTTGCCAATTATACAAAAAAAGTTGATTTTGCAAATTTTAATTTTTCTAAAATATTATTATATTTATTTAATTGGTTTTTTATATATATAAATTCCCCAATCATTTTACTCCTTTATCACCAATGTTTTTTTTTTGTCGTGCAACTCCAATATTCGTTGAGACCCCAACAACGAATATAAAAAACCCTAAGAAGAAAAAACTATTAGTGAGGCCATTTTGTTTACAAGCATGGATAAACATAGGTATGTACATGCATATAATGTTTATATATAAAATTTAAGAAAATTATATTATGATTACGCAAGCAGTGTCCAAGTGCATGTAACATAGAACAAAATCATTTAAAATATTATTCGTAATAATTATTAGTGCACGTACGTGCGTATTTTCATGATTAGGTTCAATGTAAATCAGCAAACCAACAAAATCGCGTATATAACAAATTCGTGATTTAATAAGGCAAAGGAAAGAGGAATGTTACTTCTGATCGCCGAAATCGTAATTTATTTATTTATTTTAATGAAAATAGATTCGCCGAGTTCAAAAATCCTTTGAAGACATGTTTAGCAATGTTCCGACAACGTATCTTTCTTTAAGATAAAAACCTATTATTTTATTAAATCGCTATTAATTAATTAATTATATTCCACCTATCCATAGTTAAATTATGACAAAAGTTAATATTTTCCACTAATTTTCGTTAATATTTTTAAATATACGTAAATTTTTAATCTAATAAAAAATTATACAAAAATTCAAAATTTTTCAAAATTTCTCACCAAATCGCGAAATATATTGTAATGTCCCACATCACGTAACGAATTAGGACCCGACTGGTTGTACCGCAGCGGTTGCGGTTGCGGATGATAGCGTTTTCAGAGTGTTTGCTAGCGATTGTAGGCGATTGGTACTGACTGGTTTATAAATGACTGTTGGTGGCGATTGCGGTTGGTTGCGAGTAAGAGTGAATGGTTGTACACGGTTGCGGTTGCGTTTGGATATAAATTACCAAAAAGGACATGATTTTAAAATAATTTTTTAAATCAATTACAATTAATTTTATATTATCATTTGATAAAAAAATATTTTATATAATTTATAAATAATTATATAAAATATTTTAAAATATAAATTCTATCAATTTAATTTATATTTAATTAAAAAATAATTTTTGATAAAAATATCAAAAATAATTATTGATAAATTTAAAAATTTTATAATTATGTGATAATGAAATTTAGTAAAATATGATATCAAAAAATAAATTCAAATCATAATACTAAACAAGTCATCAATAATATATATATATATACTAAACGAAGTCATCAACAATATATTTATATATAATATTTTGCATAAAACACGCTTCAATGTCAAAACTCAAATCCCAAACTGATATTTAGTTGTAAACTTTCATTCTCATGAAGACCCATGAACATAATAAATGTTTATAATGTGAAAGAAAAATTACATTTCACGAAACAACTATAATCATTAGAAATACACACAATTTTGTACAGATTTCTCAAGCATCAACAAAAAATGCACAAAGAAACGGTGAGAGAAACACTTGCATTTGACATCACACAGTTCTACAACCATAGTGTCCTTCAAAACTTAAAAGTCAAAGCAAAACCCACAAACATAAATCACACTTCTTGGCTACGTGCATTCAGGTACAGGAGAAACAAGGAATCAAATCCATAGGCATTGACTTAAGAAAAAATAGATCCATATTTTCAACCACGTAAAACACACTTCATGGCCAAAGTAGAATCTAAAACCCATTTCATACCAAAACAGAATCTAAAATCCATTCCGTAAATGCTACATCCAGAAAAGAATCCAAAACCCACAAAACCCATTTTGTGTAAAAGTATTATCTGTGAACTCGACAGGGATTTTCAAATGAAATGATAAATCCAAGTATTCAAACGAAATCTGGAAAAAAAAAAACAGAAGAGAAAAGGGGATAAACACAAAATAGAGACATAGACATACCAAGAGACGACGAAGATGACTAAGTCCGGAAAACTCCGGCGAGCTCCGGCAAGTTCCGACGATCTAGGTGCTGGGTCGACGGCTCGATGCGAACACAGGTTTTCCACGGACAGACATGTGAGAAGAATAGAAGAAAAAGAGAGTTAGGGTTTTATTATTTTCAAGGGTATTTTGGTCTTTTTCTATAAACGCTATGAAACGCTGCTAATGCAGGTGAGAAGCAGCGTTTTAATTTTTGAAGTTTTATTGCGGTTACGTTTCGCTGCGGTTGGACCAGCCAGTTTAACACCCGCCACCAATCGCCAGAAACCGCAACTGCTCCGTTTGCGGTTGGTAGCGGTACAACCAGTCACCCCCTTAAATGTCTCACATTTGGGAGTTGATCTGACAAGACACGTCATCACATATATCCACGTAGACATATCACATCATACAAATAATAATAAAATAATTAAAATTTTAAAATTAAAAAAATTTAAATTTTAAAATTTAAAACTAAAAATTTAAAAGTTCGAAAACAAAATATATAAATAAAAAATAAAATATATATATATATATATATATATATATATATACATTCCACCTATTGATTTTAAATAAAAAAAATTTATTTCTAATGTTTTATGATTTTTCCAGGTGGGGATGAATTGGTGGTCGACCGGGTATATTTGGAACCCAGGATTCGGATCTGTTCGGACAGGATGTCGCCGCTGCCATGACCTCCCGGGTTCCGGGACGTACGATGAGCCAAGTTCACTGGTGCTTGCTTAGTCTTTTGGTTTTGCCTCCATTGGTCGAATGGGCTATATGGTGTCCTAACCCATTTTCAATACGGTCAAAATAAAATTTGATATTTCGGTGCAGCCGAATTTTCTCTTCTTCAAAACTTTATGTATTTTCATTTTTTATAATCTTTTGACATTGATTTCCCCAATAAACAAAATTTCCAGGTACAGTCGTTACCGACACTCATATTGCATAGAAAACATGTACAAAAACGGTAAAAAAAAAAAAGACAAAATGCAATAACCCAAAAATACAATATGCCTAACAAAATAAATTAATCACATACAGAGGAGTAGTGTTATTCACCCCCTCGGTTCATCCATGCATATATGAAGATTAACAAACAAATAAATAAAAACATTAGATTGCTTCTGTGTTATTTGAAGGAATTAAAACACGTGCACGTATGCATATATTAAAAGGCGAATCTCCCTATTGGCTTGTAAGGCAAGAAGGTCCTCTTCTTCGCATCTTTTGATTCTGCTTTCCTCGCCATGTACAACCCATGGGACGAGACAGACGACGACGTCCCTCTCGATCTCCCGACCGAACTGTTCTTCACAGGCTCTTCTTGTCTCTTGAAGAAACTCGCAAACCTCGAGATCGAATCTTTCTGTTTCGCCCTTCCCTCGGATGCGCTTCGGAACAGAATCAAGTCTCTTAACCTCCATTTCCTGGAGGATGATGATACAGAAGATAACGCAGACGAGAAAGAGCCCTTCTCCTTGAGGGATGATTCTGATTCTTCTTTCTTCTTTCGTTCTCGTTCTTGATCTTGTTCTTCTTCTTCCCATGGATAGGCCGAGACCCGGAAAGGGGAGAGCGATCTCGATGCTCTCTGGTTCGAGCCATGGCTCTGCTCTCTCCCTCGTCCTCTTCTCGACCCATTCCGTGCCTTTTCTAAGGCGGCTTTGAACGGGTCGACGTCCACGGGTTTCATCTTCTTAGGCGAAAACGCTTTGCGTAGAAGGTTCTTACCCTGAGAGATCGGTGACCTTGGAGAAGAAAGAGGAGAAGTTTTCTTGAACTGCTCGAGCTCGTCTATCTGTAAACGTGGTGGAGGCTTCAAGGGCTTGATCTTGCCTCCGTCGAAGAGCTCCTCCGCGAAAAGAGAGGCCGTTTCGGATCTGTCACCGAGGTCGAAAGCGAAATCATCATCACCACCACCATCATCATCATCATCATCATCTTTAACAAGGGTATTGATCTTGCTGGTGGGCGATTTCGGGGTTCCTGGCTTCACTTCCCAATCAAAAGGAATGAACAGAGGCTCAGATGATAAGTCTTGTGTTGATGTATAATCCTCGAAATCTCTGTAAAACTCCGCAACCCTTCGTGGGCTTGTCGGTGTACTGAAGAATCCACCTGATAAATGCCTTGGAGATGAAGGAACCGTCATCACTTCCATTCTCTCTCTCTGTGTTGTCTCTGTTAATGCTTTTGGTTTTCCGATGAGTACGGAGACAAGGGGAAGAGAGCTAAGAGAGACATTAATACGGTGGAGGAAAGAGAGAGGAAAGAGGGAAGCGAGGGCTCATATCGCTGACCAAATTATAAAGATGGCTCAAGCAAAACATTGAAGATAATTGCGAATAAGTCCCTCTACCTTTTCTTATTTTGTGTTCTGCTACATCTCTTTGAAAATGGTTTCGGTTAGTCCCCTCTAATGCATTTTTTTTTAGTTTTGCATGGAAATAATACACATGTAATATTAAATCGATTCAATACAATTTATGGTGGTCTCTTACAATTTTTAATTAATGCAAGAATTATTCAGTATGTATGGATGATTGAATCGTTTGTATCAAGATTTTTGGTTACCCATATTAACACAACTATTTTTCATTTGAATATATTTTTTCTATTATTTTTAGTTTTGTAATAACCTATATATCAATGACCAAATATATATTTTATTAATGTTTTTGTTAGTTTATCTAACCAGAACCATAGAACATGGAACCACCGTGGTTATCTTTATAAAAAACATTCGAATCGGATTTTTCTAAAATTAACACATGAAATAAATGATATTATAATTTAGGAATTTAAACAAGTATAAGCAAATTTATAAATACGAATATCTAGATGAACAATTTTATTGAAAAAGAGGTGTTGATTGATTCAAAACAAAATATAGGCCATAAAATCAAAATGTACACGAATACGTGTATTTGTTTGGTGGCATCATGATAATAAATGAGTAAATGGCCGCCCTTTATGACCATTCAATTTTCATGTGTTATGAAATCTGTTATTAAATCTATAACCTTCGTTATGTAATGGTCACTTCGTTGAATTTTCCACAAAGTTCATTAGCCGACAATGAGCATATGAATATTATTATGGTTTGGTGGTCGAAATTATTTCAATTAATTATTATTTTTCCCAATAAAGTGAGACTTTTGGTCAACCCAGCAGCTTGGTCGGAGACTTTGTAGATCAAACTTATCAATTTAGCTAAACAGACAAAATCGTTTTCCAAAAAAAAAAAAAAAAAAAAAAAAAAAAAAAAAAGTACTTTTTTTTTCAAAAGGCTTGTGGTTTTAGGCCGCATCTTTTGCGGGTCGGATTGGGTGGACCTGTGAGTTTTCGGCCCAAATGAATATTTGCAGGTGATGCTGTATTGATCATCTTAGGAAATAAGTAGATGTGGCAACGTGGGAACTGGGAAGGGACATGGGGAAATTTGGTTACGACTACGTACAATTAGATTATAATTTATTATTTTAACTATTTCTTAAATATACTATTGTATATAAATAATTTTTAATTATAACCATTTTATGTATTTTATTTTTAAAACATAGAGACAAAATAAAAATGTTGCTAATTGTTTATATTTCTTTACCAGTGCAATCACGGAGTTCTGTTTTATTTTTGGTAAACGGAATAGCATATCATTGTGAATGTGGGAATACAATTTGGTTTCAAATTTATAATCAAATTACTATGCTAATTCAGTTTCAGAAATAATAAATAATCAAACCATTTGATTCTTCTGAAATACGAAGTCCTTAGTTTTAAAGATCAAATGACGATTTAGAAATTTTTTTATTTCGCTATTTCCATTTTTTTTTAATGTACACGGACAATATATTTAAAAATGATAATCTAATCAAATTTGGAATGGCTCATATTCATAACATTATAGATGATTAGAATAAGGTGTTTTATATGTAATTAAGAATAATAAATGAGGGTTTAATAATCTTTCTTTAAGTTTTAGACGATTTTGACATGGAAACTTAAAAGGAGTGATTGGGAAATGGTAAAATGTTTCTTAAAAAACGAGAGTTTAACGAACTTTCCTTAATCAAAATGTAGATCGTAAATTTTTATAATGCTTTTTTAGTTGTTCTAAGAAAACTCATGATTTCATATAAGATTTATCCTAATAATAACAAAATACAAAATGAGTATTTTGGAATCGTAAATAATTATTGCTTTCCAATAAAATCCGTAAACATTGTCATCTTAGCTAATGAATGAATTATTAATTTACATATAAATTTCAATTCAAATATTAAGGTATATACCTAAAAATGTAAAATAAAATAAATATATTTCAGGAATTGACAATGATAAAGAACACTAAAAACATAATATTGTACTTTACAATTTTAATAAAATATCACTAAAAGTATGAGAATTTTAAATTTAATAAATAAATATATAAAATTTTAATTTTATATAAAACATATAAGCTTTAAATGTTTTCTCATAAATCCACATACAAAACCAAACGTGAGTTTGCACAAAAACATTAAATTTGTATATTTTTATACAAAATTAAAAATTGTTGTATTTATTTACCAAATTTATAAAATTCATATTTTTTTCCCGATATTCCTTTTAAAAATAATAAATTGTATATTTTAAATCCTAGCATTAAAATTATATAACATATAGTTTTAAAATTTTATTCTACTCTGTTATATAATTTTAATAAGAACCTACATTTTACACATAACCTAACAATTAATGTGCAATGTGAATAATATTGGAAGCAAAAAATATAAAAAACCCAAACCAGAATGGTGGTGGATGTGATATTCTCGAAAGATCCCTCCACTACCTCACGGTCCAAAAAAAAAAAAGAATTTATATAAAAACAAAAGTCCATAACGAAATTCCCGGATTACCCTTCGTTCCCACATGCGCCCATTACTCCACAGCCATTCACTTGCCCCCGCCTCCGTTTCGAATTCACTCTTCTTCTTCTTCATCTGTGAGGACAAAACAGACGAACAACAAAAGGCGAAGGAACCATGTTGGAAGAATCTCTGTTATCGGTTATGTACAGTTGGTTCACACCCACTGTCCTCTTCGTCTTCCTCAACCTCATGATCGGCACCATTGCCATCACTTCTTCCTTCTCCTCCTCCTCCTCCACCAAACCCAACGATCCAAATCATCCTCAGATCCATCGCTCTCCTTCTGTTCTTCACCGTCTCAAGTCCATCAGCTTCTCCTCCCTCACTTCTCCCGACAAAACCCAGCTAGGGTTTCCTCCTCCGACCGCCGCCTCAACCCCCGATGTGGTCGACCTCCATTCCCAACCCCACCCCGCTTCGATCGAACAGAACCAGACCCAGCCTTTTCCCTCCGCATCTCCCTCTGTTCTTAGCCGAATCAAATCCTTCAACCTCTACGACTACATTTCCCAGGAACCCACCTCCTCTTTCTCGGCTTCCGAATCATCGCCGCCGCCGCCGCCGCAGATCCATGAAACCCTAGACGCGAAAACTGTGGAAGGGGAAGGAGAAGAACAAGCCGAACCGGCCCTTGAGGATGCCTACAACAAGCTGAACGTGAGCCACGTGAACCACATAGCTCGGACCAAGTCCGACACCGAGCCTGCAGCCGGAACCGTACCTCCGAAGCTGCCGAAGAAGATGAAGAAATCCGCTAGCACAAAGTCGCCGTTCTCTCACTTCGAGGAAGGGGAAATCGCCACGGTCGAGGCTCGCCGACCGGCTACGGTGAGGGAAGGGAGGGTTACGGCGGAGGAAGAAGACGGCGACTCCTCCGATGAGGAGGTGGACGCGAAGGCCGACGACTTCATCAATCGGTTCAAGCAACAGCTGAAGTTGCAGAGGATGGATTCCATTACGAGGTACAAGGAGACGGTGAAGAAAGCGAATCGGAAGTAAAAAAAAAACATCCGTGGTGGATCATGTTGATTATGTGTTAATTTTGGACGTCATCGAAAATTCATAAAATTTTCTTGGGGTTTTCTTTCTTTTTCTCTGAATCTCCATCGATTTCGCTCGGGTTTTTTTGCTGCAACTGCTTTTCTTTCTTCTACTTTTCCCGAGAAAACAAATTCGGAGAAAATATGAGAATCTTCACAGTTCTTCAATGGGATGAGTGTATTCTGGAAATTTCCCCGACGTCGGCCTCCTTGGCAGCTGAAGAATCTTCAGCGGTGGCCTCGTAGATCTGACCTCCATGGAAATGGTCTTACGAAAGTGGCGAACTTCTTGAAATTCCCAGACTACCCTTATAGTTTGGTGGCTGGACACCCTTTGGAGTTGTCGACAGGTCTCAGGGGTCATTTCGTCATTTCCTCTTCGGATTGTAACGACGCCGGTGTCTTGGAGTGGCGGCCTGCGAAGTCACGGAATTACCATTTGTATTTGCGAAGGGCATGGGCATTGTTGTAAATTCAAGTCATTAGCATCTACGATGAGTGCTTATTATCCGTACGTGCAGGATGTTTGGCACGTGGAGCTGGAGCCTTTCTGTTTTTTAATTTGGTCAGTCATATTGGTGCTTACCGGTGGATTGTGAAGCCAAAGACTGTCAAATACGAATTCAATACCGATACCCATGTCCCAAAATTAGGGCATATCTGACATTTTCGTTTCAAAGTTCCAATCTTTTCCCGAGGGGAATTCATGTGGGTCGATTTTGAAAGGGAAGTGCTTGTGGGTTGGGGAGGAAACAACGGCTCCACCCTTACCGCCTGTGTGATTGCTAACCGTGAGTGAGCATTCTGTTAATCACGGTTCTCAATCTTGATTACGTTTCTTCATCATTAAGGTGGTGGTTGACGCGCAGAGGAATTTCGTGGGCGACCAAGGACAAGGTGCAGCAAGCCAATTACTTCGGGTCACTCACCCAAGCATCGTCAGTTCGTGTCGGGTCGTATAGAGGAGAAGAGATCTATGCCCCTTTCAAGAGCCTTCTTCCAATGGTACGTATCATCATCATCATCATCATCATATTCCACTGTTTCATAGCATCATTAGCACAGTCATGGATTTAGTGAACAGTGCTCAAGTTTCTCTCTTTATTACAGTGAAATGAAGTGATCGTTTGGACGGACATGTGGTCTGTAATTGATGTGGAAAAGGTGAACACGGACGATGTTGTGTTCGGTGGATGGGACATAAGCGACATGAATTTGGCAGACGCCATGGCAAGGGCCAAGGTTCTTGACATTGATCTGCAGAAGCAACTCAGTCCTTACATGGAGAACATGGTCCCACTCCCAGGGATCTTCGATCCCGATTTCATTGCTGCCAATCAAGGGCTCACGTGCCAACAACGTCATCAATGGCTCCAAGAAGGAACAAATTGATCAGATCATCAAAGACATCAGGTACCCACCAATGAAGTTGAAAGCTGCGTTCTTGATGTTTTCAGACAAGGCTTTTCACTTGCTGGGTTCAGTTTCTTGATGCTGTGTGATGTGATGAACAGGGAGTTCAAGGAGAAGAACAAGGTTGACAAAGTTGTGGTGCTTTGGACAGCAAACACGGAGCGTTACAGCAATGTGATCGCTGGGCTAAACGACACAATGGAAAACCTCTTGGCTTCTGTTGAAAAGAACGAGCCCGAGACCTCACCATCTCGTCTCACAGTGACTTGCACTGTGTTAAGTTGTGTATTGGCATTTACTTCGTTCTATCCATTGTTTGGTGGGCAGTGGGATCAAGAGTGCCGAGTTGCGGATCAGGAAACTGCCATTCCAGAGGCTTGTTCGTGAGATTGCTTTCTTATCGAGCAACTCCTTTGAGTGGGCTATCTAATGGTGTGAACTGTCGTCATGTGGGTTTTTGTGATTGCAGAGCCATGTGGTGCTGGCACTCCAGGAAGCGGCAGAGGCGTATTTGAGGACGCCAACCTCTGCGCCATCCGCGCCAGCGTGTAACCATGATGCCTAAGGATACCCGGCTTGCTCGTCGCATCAGGGGTGAACGTGCTTGATCGAATCAGCCCATTTCTCTGAAGTGTACTGATATGGGAGATGAAGTGGCGTGTGGCTAGCAATAGGAGATATGGTGTTCTCGACCACAAGTTTGTGTTTTTGGTTCCTGTTCAAGTGGTGTTGCCACCTGCCCGTGGCCCAGAAAACACACTCTTTGTTGATTTTCAACGATCTAGTTTCTCATCGAATCTCCATCATGGGAGGTTCCTGAGCTGAGATCGCTATCACGGGAGGATTCCAAGCCAGGAAGCTATACTCCCAAGTCAACACCACTATCTTCCAATTGATGTAAAACGTAAAATGTAACCTGAACATGTGACGGGATAGTTATATTCTTACCAGAGACAGTGAAATGGCTGTGCGTTCAAGGAAAAGCCCTTCTGAGGTATTGCATAACAAAATTCTTAGGGTTAGAAGAGTAACAACATACAATACCACCGCATCCTGAGGGTTTAACTTGACTCGGGCTGCGATTTCTTCTCTTGTTCGGCAGGAGGCTGCTCTTTTATTTCCGGTTTCTCGTCTTCTTGTTTAGTCGGGACACACGGTCTCCATACGGTTTCCCTCCCTACATCCATGAGTGCTATTCCCTTGACCGTTAACTCCGCTCTAATCTGATCGCTTCTCTCAAACTCCTTGTTCTTCCGGGCTCTTGTCCTCTCCTCGATCATCCGTGATATGTCTTCTTCCTCCACCCCCGCCCTTACCAGTGCCTTTTGCCTCAATTCCTTCAGAAACTGCTCAAACGCATGATAAATGTTGTCACCCCAAAGGGATTCCAGGCATTTTCTTTACAACAGAGAGCTACTACAACATTGCGATGTTGGTATTATTACCTCTCCGTAGCTGAGGTTAGACAGCAGGCCGAGTACGTCCAGGATCTCCCTCGCTGCTTTTTCAACCTCGGTGAGGGACAGAGTCAGTGACATGCGCTGCTTCTGTTGCATTTTCTGAAATTTTTTGGAAAGGCAGAAGAAAGAATGAACAGGCTACTTTTAATGCACAAATTAAGCAGAAGCTAATTTTTCAGATCAGATGGGGGATGAAAAGGGATGGAGTGCAACTGGACAAATGTCAGAAAGTAAACAAATAATACCTTGAGCTTGCCCAGTGAACTGTTGATGAATTTCAATACATCCTGGAAAGCACCCGTAAGTATATGGGCCGTGTTCAAGTCATCTGACATTTTACCTTCAAACTCGGTCTTTAGCTTGTCCATGATGTCTTTTGCTTCTGAAGTTAGTTGAGCCTTTCCCCCATCTTTAGACATTGCTTCTCGATATGGCAACAGAGCATCCACTAGATCTTGTAAAGTCTATTAAAATGAAGAGATGTTAAGTTATAAATCCGAAACTTGAACCTTTTAATAACAAATGCCTTGCCTTTATTTCGATTTTCTTTCGCAAACCATAAGAAGAAAAAAACACAACATTTTCAAACTTGATTTTCAAAGTTTGATGGAAAAGCACGGCACCTGATAAATATAATACAACGCATCCGATGAACTCTCCAGCTGCCAGAGAGAATAATTTAGAGGAGACCGATATTGTACACTAATCAAGAAGTGTCTCAGCGCCAGCGGATGGTATCTAGCAGTGATCTACAGGCAAAGAAGCAGTAACATCAAATGTGAAAGACAAGAAGATGATAATTCTGATATATTTGCATTAGCCAAAAGAATCTATTCAGGCTTAGTCTCAAACAGAAGGAACTCACATCTCGAATTGTGAAAAAATTGCCCAATGATTTTGACATCTTCTCGTTATTGTTAGTGACATGCCCGTTATGCAACCAGTAAGCCACACCACTGTTCTCACAAGCGGCACAAGATTGTGCAATCTCATTCTCATGATGAGGAAAGATCAGATCTATGCCACCACCATGAATGTCAAATCTTGGAGACAGATAATGGGCACTCATTGCACTACATTCTATGTGCCACCCAGGCCTTCCCAGACCCCAAGGACTCTCCCAGTGTGGCTCACCAGGTTTTGCAGCCTGCATCGGTTTCTAGATATAAGTACCTGCCTTGTCCATCAGTGAATATTTACAGCTCCAAGGCTCGATGTACTGTCTCAGAGAAGGTAAAAAAATCCGATTTTAAACCTTCCATAGGGCAAAGTCAGCTGGATTGCGCTTCCTTGAGTCAACAGCAACACGCTCACCAGCTCTGGTATGCTCCAGCTTTTGCCCAGATAATTGGCCATAATTTGGTGACTTATCAACAGAGAAAAACACATCGCCGTCCACTACATACCCACAGTCTTTCTCTATGATCTGAAACGAACAAGCACACAGATCATACACCTAATCTACGGGTTTAACCTTATTTATTACTCTGATCATGATCCTATATCATATCTTTCAATAATTCAATGGGACAATATACGAAGAACAAAGAACATATCAAGATGGTTGATCAAGCTGACAGACCTTTTCTATCATCTCTATGATCTGTTCCATATGGCTGCTGACACAAGGCTGGTGGGTGGGAACAAGGCATTGAAGCGCACCCATATCAATAAGATATTCTTCACAATATCTATTGCTCAAATCTAATGGGTTTTCCCCATGCTCATTAGCACGTTTGATTATCTGTCACAAGGCCAGAATCCAGACTTTAGAATCCAACAAAACCCAAAATAAGCAAAACTTGCGATCTTTGAGTCTTTTGAAAACAATTGAAACAGTTGAACTCAACTATAACTTAAAAAACACAAAAATAAGATGATGATCACTGTAAACATAGTTGTTCATCGCAACAACAGAGCTATCCCAATTTCAAAATCTGAGAATTCAATCAGAAGGTCATACCTTGTCATCAACATCTGTAAAATTCCGGACATATGTAACTTCATAGCCCAAATGCAGTAAGTATCTGCACAACCGGTAAAACAATACCATAAACGCTACAAAATCCAAGAGAGAGCCCCTTGAACCAAAATTCACTGTTTTTATTTATCAGTACATAATTTAATTTTGTCCCATATGGAGTAATTAAAATTCTCTACTTGTCTTGTTAAATTCAGGAGCAAAAAATGCAATTTGAATTTATAATCACAAATATTTCATCACAACTTCCCATTAACTAAAAACGTTGGCAACAACAGCAGCACAAAAGGACACAATTTCCCCTCAAAGAATGCTGCCCGAAATCACCATAAAAACTGAGGAACTCCAATTTCCTTAGAAGCACACAAACCCCTCAATTGGTGCAGATCCAGAGAGCTGAAAAAGCGAAAAGAAACAGACCTGTAAAGGATGTCGAAGGAAACAGCGGCACGAGCGTGGCCGAGATGGCTGAAATCGTAGGCGGTAATACCACAGACATACATGGCGACTTTACCGGGCTCGATCGGCTTGAAAACCTCCTTCTGCTGCGTCATCGAATTGTACACCTTCAACTCCACCTTGTTTGCCTCCATCTCCGCCGACGACGACACAACAGCTCGACCGCTCGAGATCCGCTTCGTCCAAATACACTCTGCAAAAACGCAACGTTACGTGGCCCAAAAGAAAATCAGAGTGACGCTTTGACGCTTTCTAAAGACAATCTAAAGTTCGGACAAACATGTGCCATCTTCTTTCTAATCTCAAGCCAACAAATCCAAGCATGAACGGATCTAGATCTTCACAATCAATCCAACACATAACTAAAACAATACCAGCTGACAAAACTCCATCTTTCTGTGATAAGCAACACCAGAACCAGAAGAGAGAGAATCAAGAGATACTTATATACTCGAGAATCTAAGCAAAAAGGAGGAGCAAGTGGGTTTGCTTGGAGGCCGCGTGACTGTAACCCAGAAAACAAAGAAGGGAGACGCAGGCGAGAGATCAGAGAAAGGGGAAAGGAGATCGTTACATATGGAACATCCTTTACATCTTTTACTGTTATACCATTATTGGTATATACATACACACACGGGCTTATACAAAAATCACTTATACAAATGAATTAAGAGCTTAAATTACATCACATGGAAAAAAACCGAGCACACCGCCGTTAACTACAAAATCGAAACCATAGAATCAGAAGACGACGAGCAAACAATAGTCGAAGAACGGAGTCGTGTTTGCAAGAGAACAATCGAAGAAACGAGCAACCATTGAATCTGAGAAAAGGGAGAACGAATCCGTCGAATAAACGAGCAACAACACACCCACAGAACGAGAGTCGTGCCGAAGAAACTAACCTAGAAAATAAGAAAGCTACGATAGAAGAAACGCAGGAGGATAGGTCGCCGTGAGCCACAGAAGAAGAAATGACCGCGCAAGCCACAGAACGAGTCGATCAGAGAGGAAGGTCGAATCTGCAGCGGAGAAAATCAGAGATGCAGAAGGCTTGCTTCCGGCGCTGGGAGAATCAGAGCAAATAGTGAATTAGTAATTTAGGGTTTAATTTTAAATGAAGGGTAAAATAGTAATTTACTTAATTTCGGTATCTGCTGGTAATAATCTGATCTTGAATATTAATCGAATCCAAAATTCACGTATTTCTAAAATGATTATCCGATCTCACCTCGTTAGGCGTAGATATAAGTCGGATACCCAATTTTTAGAATATTTTATTTTATTTTCACCATCAAGGATTTTATAAAAATATTATCTCAGTTTTAGTTTTAGTTTCACAAGATCCGGATATTCGTAACTCGGGTTAAAAATTTCGGTCTTATACTTACGGATATCCGAATTCATACCACTTATAAAATTTTAAACTATGAAATGATAAAGATAGAGAGTACAAACGAGAGAGATACAAAGTATAAAGAGAAAAATTTACGATGAAAAGAGATGAATGAGAATTTAAAACAGATGAATGGTTGATTCGGTTAAATAGAAAAAAAAAGAAAACGTTAGTAAATAATAAGAATAACTTAGATAAATATTATAAACATAAAGAATTTTTTAGATTTTTAACAAATATATCGGATATTTTCGGGTATTTTTCTAAAATAATTAAAACCGGAATTCGGTTTCGGATCGAAAATTTCGTCTCGTTAATATTCAATCTCTTCATCGTTAATATTCGAATATCATTTATTCGGGTACTTGTTAAAATGTATGTCTCCAAATCTACGGATTACAGGTTAAAACGTCCATCTCTAGATTAGATACCTTAATTTTGAATATCCATCCCACAGATTTGGTCGGATCGGATTGGGTACTCGAATTCCAGATTTTTTTTTTACCGAGTAGGAAGCGTTTTTTAGCGGTCTCCCAATTAGCCGGCGGTCACGGTTGTAATCCATATTCTATAGTGTGGTGTGGTGTGGTGAAGGTCATTTTCTTTGGTGCATGTTATTTATTTTTTTGTTTTAAATAAATGCCATTAAATGTCCCCAATCATATGTTCCATGATTTATAATAAGCCATATACCACATTCCAAAGATTTGTTTACACGTGCATTTTTGAAAGGTAAATGCTAAAATCGAATTGTTATATGATATGATTTTTTTTATTGAATGCCGTGTAAAAATGCATTATATAAAAAACACTGATACTTTACTATTTTGATTTCAATACATATTCTTTTTCATCTTTTATCCTATGATCTATATGATCCAAAATATAGTGTAATCACATATTGATCTTATTGATCATAACGTTAAATTTATAGTGATCACACTAATTCATTATATTCATCCCTCGTATATCTTACTAATCATTTGATTAAAATATCATAAATTTAACACTATGAACAATATGATCAACGTGTGACCACACTATATTTCGAGTTATATGAATCATAGGATCACAGCTGAAAAATAGTATGTGTTGAAATCAAAACATATTTTTATCCTGGGTTCAAACCCAAACGTGGAAAGTAATATTCACATGGTTTTTTCCAATTTTCTAGGAGATGTATTGTAGAGTGAATTTTTGGATTATAAAAAAAATGGTCTTATATTTTAACCCACGTTGAATCAAAGTTTTTTTGGTAAAGCTTTTCTTTTGATTTACAAAATGTCTTGTACAGCACATATATATTTAAGTATATTTGAGTGATTTTATTGAAGCGTATTTAAGAATCATATCCAAATAAATAACATATAATTTAAATTGAATCTGAGTGAAAAAAAATTGATTGTGTATAATAAGAATAAAATTTAAAATAAATTTTAAACTGAATTAAAACAGAAATATATTTAGAAAATAAATATTGTTATTAATAGAACCAAAATACCAAACAGTTCTATATAGAATCTTACGAAACTAAAATTTAATATAAAATCTGAATAGTTATATTTTTTTTCTTTCTAAAATAGAACAATTCATAGTTTAAAAAAAATGCAAATAGCATAAAATAGTTTAGCTTTTAGCAATAAGGAGGTTTTTTTAGTTAAAATTATAGAAAATTACAAAAGACATCGGAGGAAAATAGAATTCTCCAGATCTTCCACATAACCTTTTAAATAAAAAATTAGATTGCAATAAGATTTGGGACTAATTTCACAACTTTGGAACCAATTAATTTTAAAATTCTTGATGAAGCTCTTTAAATAAATATATCTTTTAATTTAAAGATTTAAAATTTAATTAAGGAAAAAAAACTATCAGATAAAATTAAATTTGAGTCCATGAAGATATAAGCCCATCTCTGATCCATGAAATTTCCATCTTCTTTTTCTTCTGACCAGTCATTGTATATGTAATTTCTAGCCATTTCTATATAGTCACATTTCTTTCCACTAATCCAATGTGAAATGTAAAAAGATTCAATTATCCATTAAATCCAATGTGAAATGTAAAAAAAAAAATACATAGTTTGTGTTAGGGGTGGGCACGGGTCGGGTACCCTAAGTTTTTGGGATACCCGGACTTATCTCGTTTTCGTTTTCGTGAAATTCGGATACCTGTCGCTGAACTCGATTACCCGAGAGTACTCGAAGCCATCCAATTCTTTAGAAAATATTGATTTTGGTTGACTTTAATGGTATTTTAGTAATTTAATATAAAAATATTTTTAATAATGATCATAAATATATCAAAATATCATGGATATAATTGTCATTTTATTCGTATCTGGATATATGATGGTATCCGTCGCCGTTTAAATAAAACCCGGACTCGAACCCGCAATTCATATTTTTGGCTTCATCAAACCCGTTTTCGTCTTCGTTATATAAAAGGTACCCGTATTTCGAGTATCCATGAGACCGGATACCCGAAAACCCGCAGGTTTTAAGTACCCGTGCCCACCCCTAATTTGTAAGTACAAATTTGTTTTAAAAAACATCGATTTTGAAAATTCTATATTTTTTTCAAAAATTTTATTTCGTTCATAAATTTCGGTATCTCTCTATATATATAAATATTGAAATAGTATATATAATACATAGTTTGATTATACGTATTAATAAGATCGGCTAGTTCACCAAATGAGTATGATCCATAAGATCCCTATCAACGCTAATTGCATGTTATGATACACTAATTAAAACTTTACACCTAAGCAAATCATTTAGGTTTTAGATGCACTAACCCTTAACCTTAATTAGTAACATCAACCTTTGCCAAACCCTAATTACCCTACAAATATATAAAATCTAGCTTAACATAAATTCTCCGTTTCCCATCATCTAAAATTTGTAAATCATAAAACTCTCTATGGCTTTAATGATGCATTTTAGGAAAATTTGCCCAACCTTTGTGGGCCACAAAATTGTTATAATTTAATTGAGAACTCACTCGCTGTTTTATGCTCTTATTTTTATTTTATTTTATTCTCTTTTTTCTATCTGTATCACGTGAATACAATTCAATGATCTTGTGAATTTTTTTTTTCACTTTTTTTTGCATTTATTTTTTTTCGAAAGCAGTTTCCACTAATAAAAAATTAATTATTTTTTCCCTTTCGGACAGGACAAAGAACAAAGCAAGGCAAGAGAGTGAAAATCATTAGATTCGCAAATAAGAATTCTACACACTTGTCTCAAAAACTTTAGTCCCTCCAAAAACCCATCTTGCCCCTACCCAAACCTCATATTCACGATAATGCCACTCTTCTCCCACCGCTCCTCCGCCGCTTCGGCCGTTTCCTCTTCCGCCTACTCCAGCAAACCTCTCAAGGCCCATAAACCCAGTTCTGCCCCTGCCTCAGCTCGCATCCCCGTGCCCATTATTGTCTTTTCACTCATATCCGCCTTTATCGGCATCGCCGGCACCGTCTTCGCCATCACCGCCGGCAGAGCCAGGGTCCAGCCCGTGCCCGTATACCGATGCGGTGGATCGGAAGCTACTTTCCGCGCTTTCCACTCGAGTTCGGGGTCCAGAAAGTTCGGTGGAGATGTTGGCAATGGCGGTGTGCTGGTTGAGAGACCGAAGCTTCTAGGGTTTGTCGGGATCCAGACCGGATTTGAATCGGGTGATCGTCGCGAAGCTTTGAGGAGCACTTGGTTCCCTTCTGATCCTGATGGGCTTCTACGGTATCCAATCTACTCTGTCCTAATGTGCTTCTTCAGTGAAACGTGGCTCGAAATTCTTGGAAGTTGGTTCATTTTGATGTTAGCTTACAATGATAAAGTTCCTTGAACGTGTCTGATCCTGACAAAGCGTGAAGATTTCGAATTGGGTTTGATGCAGTTAATGTTTTTGCTTAGGTTGCTTCAGATTCCATGTTGGGATTCTCATAAGATTAAAGCATTTATCTGGGATCGCTTCAGTCTTTGATGTGAATTCTGGCTCTTCAGTAGCTGAGATTCGTTGCACTGATACTTGATTAAAGTTCATAGCTGTTTCGTAACGTTTGTCAAATTCCAGACTGTTCAGTTGTTTGGATGGCTTCAGATCTTGGGATCTATGTCTATGTAGAACTTCAGATCTCAAACTCAAGAAACAGCACAATCGAGAAGCTAATGTAATCTAACGGGGATTTGATTTCCTTAAGATCTTTGTGTCTTCCTTTCATCTATCGAAATTAGATTTTCTTGGTTGTTTCAATCAGGGTTTGTCATCTTTCGGTATGTGCAAGCGAATACGAACTGGTACAATGAACCAAATTATCGGTTTAGAGGCGTGAGCTTTGAGATCTTTCCAATATGTTGCCGCCACAAACCCCATCTTGGATTTCTTGCCCGCTGCTACTGTTGCACTCTGTGTATACGCTTATACTGTAATCTGCATCTAAATTCTAGTTGTTGATTGGACCACAGATTGGAACAAGCCACCGGCTTAGCATTTAGGTTTGTTATTGGGCGGTCGAAGGATGCAAAGAAGATGGCTGAGCTTCAAAAGGAGATCGAAAAGTACAGAGACTTTATGCTTATTGATGTCGAGGAAGAATATCTACGACTTCCGTATAAAACGTAACTCCACAACTTCTGGTGTTCTTCATCTCTGTTTTTCCTCTCTTTCTGCTCATTTTCCGTTTTATTAACAGCTGAATCCCCTCCTCCCTTCACAGGTTGGCTTTCTTCAAAGCGGCTTACAAGCTTTTTGAAGCTGATTATTACGTCAAAGCCGACGATGACATTTATTTGAGACCAGGTACTGAAGGGAGAAAGAGGGGGAAATGAAAATAAAGCATAATCCACGGAAGATCTCTTGATGATTTTTGTTTTTTCAGACCGACTTGCTACTCTTCTTGCAAAGGAAAGATCCCATTCGCGGACGTACATTGGCTGCATGAAGAAAGGGCCGGTTATAACTGACCCTAAGCTAAAATGGTTTGTGATCTTTGCTTTACATGGATCTCGGCTATCATACCCTCGATTCTGGTGATAGTGTTTATCATTTTGACAACTGTTATTCAAAACTTTCAGGTACGAGAAACAGGGAAATTTGATCGGGAATGAGTACTTTCTACATGCTTACGGTCCTATTTACGTCCTTTCAGCTGAGATTGTGGCTTCACTTGCAGCTGCTCGTAACGGCAGGTTTGAACACCTTTTTTTTTTTCTTTTTCAGTTCCCTTGTTCTTTGCCTAATGATCTATGAGCATCAGATTACAAAAAATGGAGGGAGTTTGGTGAGTTGAGTTCGAGATTCGATCTTTATGCATCTACTTGTGTGTTTTTTTTGGGTTCAGTCTGAGAATGTTTAACAACGAAGATGTAAGTATCGGGTCGTGGATGCTTGCCATGAATGTACACCATGAGGATAACCGTGCGGTATGTGATCCTCATTGTTCTCCAACTTCGATAGCGGTTTGGGACATTCCTAAATGCTCAGGTGGGTGTTAGTTTCCTCGTTGCAAATGAACAAAGATGCCATCTTTCGGACAAAAATCTCATGTTTTCCCCGACACACAGGACTCTGCAACCCGGCTACCCGGCTGAAGGAGCTTCACAAGATCGACATGTGCTCAAAAAGTCCGACGTTGCCTCCGGACGACGACGTCGATCAGTAGTCCTCTTCTTACTACAGCTCGGAGTTTATAGCGGCGCCACTTTCTCGTAGCTCGGAGTACATTCTCGTCTGAATGTACATAGAGTCGGAACTCCACCATCCTATCCTTGGGAGCTCTGTGCCACGGCCATATCATCCCACACGATCTCTTTATCATACCCTCCGGATTTAGATCCGTTGTAGATGTACACTAAGGTATACTCAAGAAACCGTAGAGACAATGAGAGAAGAGAGAGAGCTGCATCATAGGTGTATTGCCTTTTTAAGTGCTTGATTGCTAATGTATCAGTGCTACAGAGACGAATGTTTTCGTATGATTGTAACACAAGTTTCATCCAATATATTATTTGATTTGTTATAGAGTTTATTATGTAATACTAAATGATTAATTTGAAAAAAAAATAGTTGTATCTTTAATGTTACTTATCTATGTATATTATAAACAATCAAAACGTTGAGATGGCCGAGTTGGTCTAAGGCGCCAGATTAAGGTTCTGGTCCGAAAGGGCGTGGGTTCAAATCCCACTCTCAACATTTACTTTTTGTTTTTGTCGTTTTTTTCCCAGCATGATGATTTTTTTTTTAATTAACGTTGAGAGGTTATGGATTTATAATATATTGTTTTGGTAAATGGGATTTATACAACAATTTTGAAACCGAGTTTCAAAATATATAATCGGAACCACTCGGATCCCGGCACATGATTCATGGCTGTTTGACTACTTCTAATTAAAACGAAATGATCATATGTAAAATGATTTGGACTTTTAAACTTGTAAAAGTATAAATGTAAAAGTTTATAAATGTTAAATTACATAGTGAAAAATAATTTAACGGTATTATTATTTTTTAATAAATTCTTCGATCCTATATTCGTGAGATTTCCTCTCTAATTCTTGTCTATTTTTTTTAAGAAAATGAAGATTGCTTGTTATGTAACAATGTTGAATTAAAATGCATAAAAATATTATATTATTAATGCTTTCTTTAAAGTCAACACTCTTCCTTTGGGAATGCAGATATTTTGATCCGTCCGGTTCCGTCCCGGTTTAAGACGGTTGTATACAATATAATAGTTATTATAGGTTGAAATACTTTTTTTATTTTTCGTAAAAAGTTTAAAATATAAATTAATTATAATTTAATATTATTTTTTAATATATATATTAAATGTAATAATATTTTATAACTTTCTATATTTATATAAAAATTTTATGATTAGATAAATATACGATAAAAAGACATTTATCAAATTGTAAAAATTTATGAGGTTCTTTATTTTATTTTTTAAAGGGTCGGCAACGGCAAAGTATAATATAGTTTTAGTACTTGTTTGATAGCTGCCCACAAAAAGTTTATATATAATTTAATTAATTTATTAATAAAATGTGTCCAAAGATGGCCCGAAAGCAGCAGGTTCATGCACCTTTCCCACATTCTTTCAGCAATCTTCAATTCAATCAATGAACAATTTCCAGACCAAGAAACTGATTTTGTGATGTTAAAAAGCCCCTGCCTTTGGATTTTGTGGTCAAGTATTGTTCCTAACACACGACTGCATCATCACAAAACCCCAAAATCAATATCTTCCTCTTCGTCTTCTCCTCCTCCGAGCTTAGGATCGGCGATTTCTCCCCTGGGTTCGACCCATTTGCCTCAGCTTTATTGATAGGTTAATGGTGTTTCTTCTTCTGATTCATGCGCTTCTCCCCAGTGGCGGATCCAGAAAAAAAAATTAACGGGGGCACAATTAAATACGTATAAAATAAAAAAAATTAATAAATATATATCGTCTAAAAAAATATTTATATTTTACAATTAAATGCTACAATTTTTTATTTTTTAAAATCTATACATAACAATTTTATTTGTAAATATTTAAAATATTTTTTTTGATAAAATATATTCACAGTTGTTTTAGATAAATTTTAGTCAATTTCATTAGATTTGAAATATTAAACCCACGAAATGAGTCAATAAAATTTAAAATTATAATACAAATGAACAATTACGAATTTCTCTTCAAAACATTTATTAAATTCTCGGTAAATTTATAACAATATGTACAAATCGATCATTTATGTTATATTCTAACATAAATGATCCATTTAAACTAGACTAGATTAAATAGTCTAAATTTTTTTCATATTTTTTTGGAAAGTTATGATCACATGATTTTCTCTCATAAAATATTTACATCTCATCCAATCTTTTGATTAGTATAATATTCTAACATTTTTTCTATCGATGTGATTTGAAAACAAATAATCCAAATCAATTTGTTCAAACATTAAAAGATTAATTTAAAATTTTGATACATTACTGATTGAATTTTACCGGATGCAAAAAAAATTTAAAAAAAAATTATCTATTAATTTTTCTATCAAGTCAAATATAAAATATTAAGTAAATATTATAGAATAATAAATTAATAAATATGATCAAAATATAGAAAATAATGAATAAAAATAATATTTTTTTTTTAAATTAAAATCACAATATTTATATAATTTAATTCTATTAATTGTTCTGTATTTTTTTGATAATTTTTAGAAAATTATATGTATATACGAAGAAGATAAAAATGTAAAAAATATATATATTACTTAATCTAACCCTAGATTTTAGGAAAGAAAGACTAAATTAAAAAAGTGGGCCCACAAAAAATTGAGATAAGTAAAGAAAAAAATGTTACGGGGGCAAACAAATATTTTGAATGGGGGCATTTATAAATATTATTTAATTATTTTATAGTTTTATGAAGAAACTAATTAAAATTGATGTAATTGAGTGGGGGCATGGGACCCCACTCATCAACACGTAGATCCGCCCATGCTTCTCCCTCGTTTTCTGGGCTCTTTCGCTGATTATTCTTACCCGGGTTTTGTTTTCTGGGGTTTAGATCTTCGTTTCTATTGTTTTTACTATCTGGGTTTTGTTTGGTTGCCGAGAAAATCGTAGAAACGGCATAGAAAAAGTTGGATCTTTGATGTGTGTGATCGTGTTCTTTTTTTGCCCTCGAGTGAGAATGGATTCGGAATGAATGCGTTAGGAAAATGAAATTAGCAACGCGGCCGGCCTTCATGTTCTTGTTTTGTGATTGTTTATCTCTGGAATACTCAACCTCTTGCAATCAGATGTTATTGTGGAATAGATTTGTTTTTCCTTTGTCCCGCTTAGATGTTTGTTCTTGCATCACTGGTCGAGTGGAGGAGGCTGCCTTCTTGCGACAGGACATTGTCAATATCCAGAGAGCTTTGAATGAAATTAGAAATGTGGGCTAAGCGTTTTTAATGGTTTCCTGATGCTTTAAGAGGCTTCATGTCTGTCAAAAGAGTTCAATTCGACAAGTTTGTTCCGTAGTTAAGCGTTTCCATAACTTAAGTCTTGTGTTGTTTGGTCTGTATGAACAAGAATCTTCTTGCTTGATGCAATGGAATGTTTCTTGGGTTTACTTTTTTGTGAATCTTCATACTCTGGGCCTAACATGGCTGTTTGGCCATCTGACTTCTCTCTGTGTTTTGTTTCGTCCATATGTCGGTGTATCATTAATTGAACGGAAGAGGATAACAGGGGAGTTTGCATGTATGCATATGGATAGAGTACGGTGTGTTGGTAAAAATGTCACTAATAACCGCGAAGACATGTTTGCATCATTTGTTTGCCCCTTCTGAAATGGTGCTGCTGCTGCTTTCTTTGTGCTGATGAGACGACGTCTTCTGCGTGAATAGGACTGCTTTTGCTTTGACATGGTGATTGTTCGTTTCTGGAAATCTCGCGTACCCGAATGCCCCCCGGAAGATTTCCTTTGATGGATCTCAAACGAGCTTACGACGTGGAACAAGTGATCTCTTCTGCATCACCCGTAATCGAAGATGATTTATGGCCTCTGGACGATATCGATCCCAAGAAAGCAAAATTCCCATGCTGCATAGTGTGGACCCCGCTCCCCGTTGTCTCGTGGTTGGCTCCCTTCATCGGTCATGTTGGAATCTGCAGGGAAGACGGGGCGATCTTGGACTTCTCCGGGTCAAATTTCGTGAATGTTGATGATTTTGCATTTGGCTCTCCCGCACGATATCTTCAACTAGACAGAACTCAGGTATACCGACTTTTACGTCTTTTTGTCCCTGTTTCTTAAAATAGAATACGGTTAAGAAACTGAACCGACCCTGAAATTAGTGAAATGGCCGTTCAGGGGCGCTTTTAACTTCTGTTTCCTTTTGTTTCTGAAATGTAAAACACATCATTTCGATAGAATTTGTTTGCTTCTGTATGTAGGACCTTCCCTTGGAACTAGTTGCAATGAACAAAACCAGATGAATGATTAGTATTATCAAGAACAGTTGGCTTGTTTTGATTCTGTTTATGAAAAGATTAGAGCTTTCAAGCTTCTTGTTTCGGCATTAACTCGTATCGAATGTTGTATATATTCAGTGCTGCCTGCCCCCGAACCTTGGCGGGCACAAGTGCAAGTACGGCTTCAAACACACTGAGTTTGGGGCCTCGATCACATGGGACGATTCCCTGAACGGAAGCAGGCGTAGTTTCGAGCACAGAACCTACAACATGTTCACGTGTAACTGCCACTCCTTCGTCGCAAACTGTCTGAACCGTCTTTGCTACGGCGGCTCAATGGAGTGGAACATGGTTTCTGTTGCTGCCCTGATAATGTTCAAGGGGAAATGGGTCAGTGTTACCTCGGTTGTTCGATCATTCCTCCCGTTTGCGGCGGTATCTTGTCTCGGGATACTTCTCGTCGGGTGGCCGTTCTTGATCGGCCTCTTTTCCTTCTCGTTGCTACTCGTCGCCTGGTTTATGATCGCTACGTATTGTTTCAAGAACATTATGGAATGCTGAAGCTTTTTTATTTATCATTCTCATCTTCTTATGAACTTTGTTCTTCCTTGAGAGACCGAGAAATCTGTGACCCGAAACATTTTATGGTTCGAGCATCGGTTTTGTTCTTTTTCGGGTTAATCAATATCTCGGTTAGTATCGGTTAAGGATCAAATTCGGTATAGATGCTGAGCCAAGTCTACAACAATGTTACATACTACCAATCTTTACAAGTTCCATTCGAGCAAGAAATCAACAATTGGTTACAAACTGATACTTTCAATAAGAAGATCTTGGATTACAAACTGATATAAATGAGGGGAAAACTTGCTTTCGGCACATGAAAATCCGGTTTTTGCTGACATAACATTGCAGAACTCGTCGAGGGGCCAGGAGTATCGGCAAGAATCTCTGCTGATTTCGGCCAGCTTTCATTCGTGAAAAGGCTAAGCCAAGCCGAGTATACCTTCTACTCGGGTTTCAAACCCCGTTCCTTAACCAAAAACACTGAGAGAACCTGGTTTTGCACTTTCGTAAGAATGGGGGACAAACTCTAACCGGATCTGTAGCACGGAGAACCTCGGATTCTGGCTCAGTCTTCGACCTCGGTGTTGAATATAAAACTTGGAAATGCTGTAGTTACATCCCTTCAAACAAAATAAACATAAAAGATTTAACCATACTTGCATCCAAACAGATTAAGCTTCAACTTCCCCCCGAGACGAAATCCCAATCTACAGATATGGTGTTGTTTCTGATTATTATTAATGATTTAAAAGCTAATTTACCCGGGATTGAGGTTTAACACGACGAAAAACACATCTTCAATAATAGATCAACAAGGGGAAAACTACAAAAACATCCTGAAATGAGACCATGGTCATTGTAGGAGACTTAAAAAACAAGAAATAGAAATCAGATTATGAAAGTCCGCACACAAAATCTGTCAGCCACTCTCTCATCAATGCTTCAACTCGTTCAAATTTCCGAATATCAACTTTTCAAGTATGACTATTAGCATTTATACAACTATTAGTTTGCATTCAATTCTTCTCGTATAAATTTGTAGTCCCTTTTCATTGCTAAGTAAGAAGAAGAATCCAAACTTGGGTAGTTCAACCGGTAAAACAAAGATACAAAGCCTCTGTCCCACCCGAGTTCGAACCCCAAGTTTGGGGAGGGTCATTCACCGGACTTCTCCGGACCCTGGAATTAGTCTAGACCTAGCAACAAATAAGAGAGTTCAACTCTTTCTCTTGCTCGTCACTATCTTATTTAGCTTCCGCATGATAATTTCCAAGAGTCACGAGTCTAAACCCTCACTTTTTCAACCCAAACCAGATGCACGGTGAAGGAAATGAAAAAGGGGAGATACCATACTTTAGGTAAGGAAGTGTCATGTTCTTTAACAGAGTCGGGTGCTTCATCACAAACGCCTTCCAATCCTCCTTGTTGATTTTACCATCTTTGTCAGCGTCGGCATCTGCAAACGTCTAAAAGAACAGAGAAGAGGAAAGCTGTTTAGTGCTGCTAATAGAGGGGAAAGTGGTCAAGTCTATAAAAACGGAGAGAACTATACTCACTTTGTCGATAATCGAGGCCAGAAGTTCATCTGAAAGCTTCATGTCAGATTCATTTAGAATGGCAATCACCATTTGTTGTACCTACGTTAATACGTCCGAGCACGTTAGAGTAAAGAAAGCCGACAAACAAATTCCAAAATCCAGACGTTAAAGTCCACAATAGTTTCAACTTTCAAATGGCGGGGCATTTACCTCTTCTCGCTCGATAAACCCAGTTTGTCTCAGATCATAGAGCCTAAATGCAACTGCTAGCAATCAAGATTAGATTTGTGAGACACGTAGGTTAGATGATCGAATTTGGTGTTACTCAAAAGGCATGAAACGAGTTCTTTAATCCTCACAGTCAATCTTTTCCTCGATCGGTGCATAAGGGTGGAAAACACTGAGGGCGTGGATAAACTCCTCAAACTCAATAACCCCGTTCTTCTTTTCGTCGAACAAGTCAAAAACCTGCAAAAGTATATATGCAATGATTCAACCACTCTCGAAGAAGACATGAATCATGAAGTGAGTCCTCTTCCATATAAATAAAGATCTACGAAGTCATTTACTCTTATTGATCTAACAAATGGCCTCAAGCCAAGAGCACGGAAAGAAGTACTTAAGCTCATGTACTCTCACAACTTTATCCACCGTTTTCAGCTGAACCCTCCAATCAAAAATTTGGAAATGGAGATAAATAAAGGCCGCGGTATCATGTACTAAAGAGGATTACGCATACTCACCCTGTCAAGAAAGAGATTCTCGCCACATGGAGCTTGGAACAGAGCCAGTTGAAGTTCTTCCTGCAAGACAAAAAAAATCGATATTCTCACAATCAAGATATCCGAGCTTAAGGAGAGCATGGTTAGACGAGGACTTGGAGAAAAAAATTCAACAACTTCACATTTTGTAAGTGTTTTCAATCAATCAAACAATTAAGATAACAGTGATAATCTCAGATACATTCGAAGACACTTCTGCAAGAAAAGAAACTGACCTTGTGAATCAATCCATCGTCGATAATCGAGCTGCTCAGCTTCTTGAACAGCTCATACAAAGCTTCAACTTCGTTGACGTTAACTGCCAAAACGAAGAAAAGATGCTTATGGGTTCAACTATCCAGAGCATAGGAAGCTAAATTCATCTGCTTCTTCGTCCCCACTAGAAGATTTGGATCCGAGAAACAAGCTTCCATTGGAGATTTAGCTCAAAAGATCAGTTTGGTTAGCTCGGGACATTAACCCTAACTAACAAAACATACAACTTCACACAAGAAAGTCCTCAGATTTCTTGTCAACAAAGCCTAAACCGACAAAAAACCAACAATGATTCCATCAAAAGTGCCATTAGAAAAACTCGAACAATCGAACTTAAGCATCTACCTAATCATGGAACCGCAACTAACACCTAAGAAATTGAAAACCCATTGACAAGAATAATTCCGCAGAATGAAAGCTATCCAATCGCATGAACATGAAGGAGACGGAGAGCGAAACCGAAAAACCCACATCGAGATTCATTAGCAAGCCGGGCCAGATCCGCGTACCGACATGTCTTCGGCGATCGCCGGTGGCGGCAATCAAAGCATTGTCCGACGGTGGAGATCAGGAAATCAATGATCGCGAAAAATGGTATGAACACCGCACAGATTTGCTCCCCAACTGTGAGAGAGCTCGTTCTCTGCTTTTTCAGCCGCCATGGATGACACCCAAAAAGAGAGGCAAATATTATGAAATCGAGTCCACAAGATAACATTCCAAAAGAACAAACAAAAGTAAAACATGGGTTTATGTTTTTTTTTTTTTTTTTCTGGAGAGAATTACAGAGGAAGCTTGTTGCGCATCCATGATTCTCCAGAAACAGAGTCTTTTCCTCCTCAGCCTCCCCCTCTTCTTCCTCTTCCTGCTTCCTTCTTTCTTTCTTCTTCTCCTTCGCCTTCTCCTTCTTCTTCCCGAAGATATTGAAGAGAAAGGTTCAAAACAATGGTGTCGAATGAATTTGCATCACGAAGCTCTGCATCAAGCAGTTCGTGGGCTAAGACGCTGGGCTGTCTTTCAGAATTCCCAATATTATCACTATTTTTCTCCTTCCATGTTGTGGTTCCCATTTTATGGACCGAACAAATTACAAGAAAGCCCCTTAAATTATATCAATTTTGCACTCACCACCCCAAAATGGCAAACCGAATTATACGAAAATTTGGAAGAATGAGACTTGTTTACTTTTCCTTTCGATTTTGTCGCCTACGAGTACGAGGATCTTTCAATTCACCGTTATCAAAATAATTTCTAACCAAAACCAATTAATGCTTAGTAATAGTATCAGTAGGAAAATATAATATTTAATTATATTAAACCATTAATTGCGTCTCGCTCTCAGTGATTATCCACCGATTTATATATACATATATTTATCGACAGATATTTATATCTATATATATCCACACACATACATATATATATATCGATGTGATGTATATTATGTTGTGTATATATATATATATGTATACGTAAACGCATATATTGATGTTTGGGAGTCGGTCGTTAGATGTTGGTATAATATTATTTTGTGACTCGAAATCTTATGTCTTTTATTAATTACTAATTAGTCGTACGTAAGAATGCGGGGTCCATGTCGAATGATTAGCCACATGGTTTGTAAACTACAATGTTTAAATTTGTTTATTTTTTCTTTTACCAAATAATCAACGTTTGAAAGGAATTTTATCATTTTGTATCACTTTATTAGTATTTTCAATCATCTGATACGGAATAAACCTCAATTTTATAAACTTATAATCATCAACATATATATATATATGTTATAGAATTTAAATTAACTAAGCTGTTGCATAAAATATACCTGAATTTATTGAAATTTTTTAATTTAAAATCGTATGCTAGATAAAGAAAATTATATTTTTTTTTTGTCTTATTTGAAAATTACTGTATATAAATGTGGAACAATATCTATTTCAATCTTCGTCCATTAAAATATAAAAAAAATATATAATATTATCTGCACGAATACAGAATAGGTTTCAACACACTACTTGAACCCAAACAAATTCGAAATGATCAGTCATATTCTGGATAAGAGTTACGTCCTATCTAATAATTGCCTTAGACCTAGAAAATAGGATGGATATTTCGGTTTGGTTATCATCTTCAAAAATATGATACTTTTTAAATTCGAACCGTTCTAAATTCCGAAACAGTATTAATTTTTAAAAACCTAAATTTTATAAAACCGAATCGAATACCGAATATAATATAAAACCAATTGATATCTATTTTTGTAAAACCGAAAAAATCGAATCGATATGTTCCCGTCCCGAACCCGAAACGTTAACCCCTGGTAGAAAATGGGTTATTTCATCAAATTTATCATTAACTGTTAAATTTATTTAAAACCGAATTTAAAAACAACGTCATTTAAGATAAATCCTTGATAAGTTTTCTACATTTAAAAAACGTGACAAACTTTTGTGGCGAAATCGAATGTTTCGTGAGCCTTCATTATTATTTTTGCTGAATTTTCCGTCCTAGAAAACATCAGTTCAAAGTTTTCAAAGATTAAGTTCATAGACCCTTTGAAATTATATTTCGAACTGACAAATATAAAACGAGTAGAAAAAACACGTGTTATTTAAGGACATAAATTATATTTGGAGGTAATCTCCGCAACATTTTGAAAATATCGTAATAACTTAATATATTTAGAAATATTTACAAATATTTTGTTAGATCGTTAGTTTACTTGTTTTAGTTTGAAACTTTTGCGTATCAAATGTGTTCCTTTGTTGAATAGAGAAAATAAGGTATTATTCTATAAATTTGTATCATGATATCAAAACTTTTTTCTGTAAAGGAAAATTTAAAAAAAAAAGTGATCATATTTTTCGTCATTGCGTTTAGGGCTTCGACCAAACTCTAGTCGTTGTCATCGTAATTGCGTCGTGTTTGGATAAAGATTGTAAAATTCGGGTTTTATTTTTTACTAAAAATGAAGTTTAGGTTTTATTTTATGAAATTTGAGAAGTTTAGGTATTGTTTTGATATTTTCTCTTTTTTTAAACATGTTTATTAGATAATAAATTATAACATCAGTTCTAATCAAACATTATTCGTCAAGGAAATATTAGTTGACGTGATAAAATGTGACTTTTATAATCATTATTCAATCTAATTTTACACTGAACTTTGAGATTATCAAAATCTATATTTCGAATTAGACATATTCCAACACACCTTAGTAGAGATGAAAATATGCAACAATCATTCAACGATATATTCTAAAATTACATTTTTCCCATCTTAAATCAGTCATTTCAACTTTAATCATCACTCAATCTACAATTATAAATATTAGGGTATCCATTTCCCGTTTTGGTTCGCATTCGGGTAGTTTATATTGATTATAAAAATTATAATTATTCGGATTAAGTTCTTTTATTGAAAAATATTAAAAACTCAAGATTTAAAAGAAATTTTAAGTTTTCGATTATTTTTTTATTCGGTTTAATTGAGAATCTTTTTTATTTAGAAAAATCTTAATCATTTGATTTTTAAATTGGATTTAGTTCGCTTATCATATCCAAATCCTTTTCGACTATCCACTGAATAGCCAAAATGGTCATCCATGATTAAAATCCCTAATTACAATAGCGTTGAAATTATCCAAAAAGATGTTGAGAAATTGGTCACATCTTCCGGAATACTTCGATAACGATGGAAATATCCAATAATCATTTTAATCATATAATTTAAAATTACATTATTATTTTTTATATCTTAGGCCAGTAGTTTTAACAATTATCATAACCCAATTTTTAAATACAATAACTTTGATATTATCCAAAAGTATTTTGAGACTTGGATATCTGAAACATATGATGCAACCAATCGGCTCCTTATATAATATTTCTATTTAAACATAAAAGTTTCTCTATCAATATGAGCACTCATATTATTTTCTTTAACGGGTTAACATTTTTATCAATATGAAAATCTTAAATTGTATATGAAATTCAACGTAGTTTTTATGAATATAATTCACACGTCATTTCAAAAAGAGTTGATTATATATGCTAAGAAAAAACATGATTAAATAAATATAAAAAGTATAAGATTCTCTTATCAATCTTAAATAATGAAAATGGATAATGTTATAATTAGAGCAAAATATATTTTAAAACATTTTAGTTTGGAGAAAAAAAATTTGAGCCTCATTAGTTTGAAATAAATTATGGGCCTGCATATTGAAGCCCGACAAAAATTTTGTTCAAGGCTAATTAGGTTGCGCAAAATTATTTAAAAAATACATATACGATTTCGATTTAAATTCATCCAGAATTTTGGATATTCAAAAAAATCGGATTGAATAGTAAATATGTGGTATTTTCATATTCAAATTCGGGTTTAGTTGTTTTTTCAACTTTCAGATAGCCGTGAATATGCAAATTTATTACGAAAATATTTTCTATATTTTATTATAAAAATATCCTTTTGTATATATGACTATTAAAATTGTGCATTTTTTTTAATTTTGCGATTCTAAAACGAAATTATGTGAAAAAATAGTTGACATTTAAATATCTAAAAATATATTTAAAAATTCAATACTTACCTAATTAGATTTGTATGATTTTAGTTTTGTTATTGTTGGACTTGAGCTATTTGATATAAAAATTTTATATATTCAGTTTATATCGAATATTGACTTGATTGAATATATTGATATTGGATTTTTGTTAAAATTCTTTTTGTTTTTATTAAAAGTTTCAATAAATTTTTTAGTTTAAAATTTTGAGTTCTCTTAATTTAAGATAAAAAATTATATATAACTCATTTTTAAATTGAATTTTATTTAAATATTATTTTGTGTTATCCCATTATTGGGGTTTCGAAAATTCATCTATACTTGTAGATAATTCAAAGTTCACTACATAATTATAATTTTTAAGGAAACTAACCCGCAAATAATTATCAGATAATAAATATAAATTAACTAATTGTGAATATAATACGTCTAGAAAGTTCTCGAAAAAAAATTAATACAAGACAACACATGAAAAGATTATTGCCAAAAAATTATAGATTATTAAATTCTAAACCATTTGCACTTTCATACGGTAGAGTTATGAATTAACATTAAAAAAAAAGTTATAATAACCGATTAAATTATGAATTTATTGAAATACCAATCAAAACATTATTTCAAATGCATATTTAATGGATATAACAAGATATATTGTTTTGATTATATGATTTTAATAAATTTAATGTTTCGATTGGATACAACTGATATTTATTTATATACTACAATACAAAATCAGATTTATTTGAATTATGTAATAATGTTTTAACTAGCTATTATTTAATTGATTAGTATTTTAATAAATTAAATAGTAAGCAATTAGTAACTTATAGACATTGTTCTTATAATTAAAAACATAATTAAGAAATTAAATAAAACAAAATAAAATAAAAAAGACATGATACGTGGGGGCCCACGGAGAGCGTGGAATACTGGAAATAAATCTAACCGGCGAGTTTGTTAGGGTTCTCACATGATCCCTCTTCCTTCGATCGCGACATCACATTTCCCATTTTGCCACCCTTTTCTATTTTATATTACATCTATACCCCTGCACCGTGCACCTGCATCGAATATTCTTTCTGCATTATAATTTACATATTTTTAAAATTAATTTTATCTTTCACATAATTTTTGTTGTTTTTTTGGAAATCATATTCAACAAAAGTTCTATATCGATTGTAGTTTAGATGTTATTAATATTATTCGATTTTGATTAATATGTTTCAATTAAAATGTCCACTTTATAATACATATATACACACATTTAAAGAATATCAAAAAATAAGAATATTGATAAAATTACATAAAAAATGATAAAATTAATATATTTTCACGTAAAATATAGTTCAACAGCAGTAAGTAGATCTTCAGAATAGGTAAAACAATTTCAATTTTAAACCAAAGACAGAACACGTGCGACTATTCTTATTGGACCTTGTTGTCAATTTCTTCTAAATTATTTATCTATAAACGTATAACAATTATTTTAATATTTCGATTTTAGTTATTAGAAAAAATATTTATTTAGAATTAAATAATTAATTGCGTACGCAGAAAATCATACAAGTACAACTTATATGCTTTAGGCAAAAGAAATCTCACGAAATCTTAGTTTAAATAAATCTAAATGCATTTATTCTTATAGATATATTCAATAATAAAATAAGTTTTTATAAAAAATAATAATAATAATAATAATAATAATAATAATAAAATAAGTTAATGAAAAATCCTCACCGTTTACCATTTATATGTATATAAAAAATTATATACAAAAATAGGCTCTAAAATTGACATAATATATTCAAACTCAGTCTAAAAATCAAATTTCCAAAAATGAATATGAGACAACATCACTGACCCACAATCTTTAATTACCATTGTCTACAATTAGTTAAAAGAATATTTTATATTATAAACTCTTGGATTATTTATTTATATTTTAATGTCATAAAAAATCAAAGCTTAGAGTGTTGTGAGAGACAGCTTTTTTCTTAATTAAATCCCAACTACTTAATTAAGAAACCCTCATTTCATCAATAATTGGTCATTATTGTTGCTATCGATAATATAATAAACTATCTTATAGCCATTAAAGGAAAGGTTAACCTAAAATAGCAACCCCTATTATATAATATAATTAAATTATGTTGAAGGCGTCACTTCAAGAATCTAAGCGTCCTCCACTAATCAATCTTAATTAGTTTTATTTAGCAATTAAATTCGATTTTTGTCGTCACTCATTTAGTGAACCATAAATTAAACGATCTCTCGTCGTTTTATTATTTCTTAATAAATATTTTGTTATAATTTACATGTCGGTTCTATAGTAATTATTTATTATATATATATGCACTTTTTTACAGAAGAAAATTAAAATAAGATTAAATAAAGCTATAATTATATAGTAATGTATGTAATGGTGTTTTAAACGCCGAATTTTTTTACCATCCGACGCCAATTTATATTGACGATAACATAATCAATTTTGGTAATGTTTTTACAATTCTTTAGTTTTGAATTATTGTTTGTAGGAGTTGTTTAGAAAAATCATAATAAAATCTTATATTTTTTTGTTATTTTTATCATTGCAAATATATATTAGCAATAAAATTTAGTGATTTTGTAACATTTTTATAATTCGTTACTTGTGAATTTTTAATTTGTGGAAGTTGCTTAGAAAACTTTTAGTAAAGTCATCAAACATTTACATAGAGAGGTAATTAAATATCAAAATATCATGATTTAGAAAGTTTATATTTTTTTAATAATACAAAATTTAACTTTTGGTCCAACTATATCTATAGAAGATTAGAGAAGTTCGGGTGAATATTCTTTCACATATTTGGATTTGAACCCGAGATTTTATACGTTAACTTACCACTAAACCATTCAAACTTAGGTTTGAAAGTTCATGTTAAACAACGGATCTGAACATTTAATTGTTTCGAAAACTTAATAACTCATAAAATTTGAAATAATTCATATTGAGAAGATTTCTTTCTATATAAAACTCCAGCCCATTATTAACCTTGTTATATAAAGAATTATATGATGGACCGATCAATGGTTATATAGCCATTTTGATAAAAATTACGGTAATATATTTATCCTACCAATGATAAAACCTCATTTAGCATGATGCAATGCAATGCTTGTATTCGTTGTGGACAAAAGTGTCTCTATTATTTATATAATATGGATGATGGATTCAATATAATATTGAGCCAATAAAAATATGCCAATTTTAGAAGTCATCGAGACTATTTTGCCTATAAAAATGAAAAATACAAAGGGCATATCCGTCCAAGAATTTGATAGATTTGATATAAGCCTAATAGTTGCTCCAACATGTCTCCCCTTTATGTTCTTTTCTTTTGCGCAAACCCTCGCAATAACACAAGCTCTCTCTCTCTCTCTCGTCAATCCAAAGACCATACCACACGTGTGACCATCATCATCATCATCATCATCACCATGAACTCATCTTCCTCATCATCCCCTGTTCAAGGCCTAACCAAGGAAGAATACGAAACCCTCCAACCGGTCATCAACACTTACCACCGGTTCGCAAACGGAAACGCAAACGCGTGCATCTCCCTCATAACGCAACACATAAACGCACCCGCGTCAGCTGTCTGGCCGCTCATCCGGAAATTCGAAAACCCTCAGAAGTACAAACACTTCATCAAGAGTTGCCGCCTCGTCCACGGCGACGGTGGTGTCGGGAGCGTCCGAGAGGTCACGGTGATCTCAGGCCTCCCCGCCTCGACCAGCACCGAGCGGCTCCCGCCGAGGAAGAATACAAGACCCTCGAACCAATCATCAACATCTACCACCGGTTCAACCCAAACGGAAGCGCTTGCACCTCCCTCATAACGCAACGCATCAACGCGCCCGCTTCGGCGGTCTGGCCGCTCATCCGCAGTTTCGACAACCCCCAAAAATACAAACACTTCATCAAGAGTTGCCGTCTCGTCCACGGCAACGGCACGGACGTAGGCAGCGTCCGAGAGGTCACAGTCATCTCCGGCCTCCCGGCCTCGACGAGCACCGAGCGTCTCGAACTCCTCGACGACCAAAACCGCGTTTTGAGCTTCCGGGTCGTGGGAGGAGAACACAGACTGAACAACTACAAGTCGGTGACTTCTGTGAACGAGTTCTTGAACGAAGATTCCGGCGAAATCTACACGGTGGTTATTGAATCGTACACCGTCGATATCCCCGACGGTAACACAAAGGAAGACACTAAGATGTTCGTCGACACCGTCGTGAAACTCAATCTCCAGAAACTGGGTGTCGTTGCGACAGCTTCTTGTTCTTGTCCTAGGCATGGATCTATGAATGAATGAGTGAGTGATTTGAATGTGAGAGATGAGAAAGAGAAAGAGAGAGATGTTTTCGTGAGTTTTAGTTTGATGATTATTGTCGTTATTAATCACTTTATGCAATTAACTAAGTTGTTTGTTCATTCGGACATGGCCTTTTTTTTTAAAAAAAAATGTTGTCTCTATTGGACGTGATTTAAAATTAATTAACTAACCTTTTTGGATTCGACAAACATACATTTAATTTTAAGCATTATACCTAAATTTTTATCCTCATAAACCTATAAGGAATATGCAAACCTTTTTTCAAAAATTTTATTATGTTCAATAATTTGTTTGATATAACATGAATTTGAATAACTATATAGAAATATGAATATATATTCTTTGGATTAAGATATATGTAGTTGATATCAATTGGTATTCCTATCCGGATTTATAAAATCGAATAGAATTAAATTTAATGAATTCAATATCAAATAAATTCAATATCACTATTCTTAATTCAAATTTAAATGATGATGATGAAGCTGATTTTTTTAAATGTTTTAAAATGATAATTAAACACAAATTGAATCCAAATAATCCAGAATTTAATAAATATAAAATTTTCAAAATTATAAAATTCGAACCCCAAAATATAAAAACATGTAACGTGTATTTGTATTATATAATATTTTCGATATAATAATAATTAATTTGGGAACTTTTTTTTCCTTTTTCAGATTTCTCTTTATATATATATATAAAGGAGGTAAGAAAAGATGGCTGTCACATTATGCATGCAGTGCTGCACTTCTTCGTATGGTTGTGTATCCCCAACTTGTCATATTATTATTATTATTATTATTATTATTATTATTATTATTATTATTATTATTATTATTATTATTATTATTATTATTATTATTATTATTATTATTATTGTTTTTGGGTGAGAGATGAAGTCAACACAAAGAGGGTACGTCGGCTTGAAACAAGCCCCATCGAACTACCGACGCATTAAATTTTTGTTTTGTGGTTACGTTGTGGTTGCTATAATTGCAACATTTTGTCAACTGGAATATTATTAAATGGTACTTTTTTCTAATAATAAAAAATGAAATATTTAAAATTTCTTTTTAAGTAATGGTTTTTATTTATCCATTTGATGATTTTTTTTTTTTTTTGAATTGGGGTGTTTTATAACTTGTGGGGATTTTGGGCCAACCTGTGATCTAACATGAGATAAGAACACATGTGATAAAGAAGCCGTCTATCTATTCACACGAAGCCACATTAATTGCATTTTATAATCATAATAATTTATATTATTTTTTTTATAAAAGCGTTCCCTAACACTCTGGGATATGCGCATCTACTTGGCGTGTGTATGTATATATACATACACGCTTATTCTACCCGGTTTACCCAACCAACGTTAGTCCATCTAGCATTTGGTTCAGCTTGATTCCGGTTTAGCTCTAAAACTAAACCAACTTGAAGCCTCCGTTAGAACCGGAAGGTTGCCCTGTTTTTCACTCAACCTCTGCATAAGCCGCATTCTCGAGCCTGCGATCTAACAAATCTCCACTTCAGGCTCAATGTGCTTCCTCTCCGCCGAGTCTTCTGGCCTTTTTCCTGCTTCCAAGTGTTTTTCTCTTAACGTCTTACTCTTCAAATAGCCGAGCAAGTTGAGACATCGCTTGAACTTCGTCGTTGGTGCAACGAATTCGGTTTAAGATACCCGTTTGATTATTTCCTGTTGAGATTAACTTACCTTTGTTTATCAAATCACGGATGAGTATGCTTTGTTCTCTCATGAAACACACAGCTTTTAACAAAGTCGATACCCCTTTTTCCTCCTATATCGGACTATATCCAATTCCAAGGATCACATGTTTGGTCGTTTGATTGCTTGGTCTGAATCAAACTTAGTTGTAATGGATTGTTATGGTTGGGTCAGTCTTTGTCCAAGATGAAAGTTCACCGCTTCCATTTTCAAGGGGAGTATTAAAAGAAAAGAATTTTGTTAGTTTCAACAGTTTGCCGCTTTGATATTTTTTTTATAAACACATATTTAGTTCGGGATTTAAACGAGAATGATAGAAAATTGTTCGAATTTCATTTTCCTTCTCTAATTCTCAATAGATTACTAACCTTTGTATTTGTGAGTATCTAGGGGTTGAATGGGAATACATTTGAGATTTTTAAAATTCAAAAACCAAAAAATCGACAATCAAGATTTTGTAAATTTGTTTTTTTTAAACTTAAAAAAACCATTTTAATTAAATAATTAACTAAAAATCGAATGTTTAATTTTTTTAATTGATAAAAAATACAAAAAGAAAAACCCAAAACAAAAATTTTAAACCCAAAAACTAAAAATTTTAAATAAAATTATCACGATTCATTAGTATAGAAACAGATATTTACCACTTGACCAGCAAAAATACAAAGAAAATTTCGTAAGAGCACTGATCGATGGAGGTTATCTAGCGATCCACTCGCGCAACGCAAACATAAAGCATTGATCAAAAACACAAACACAGAAAATCTAGAGAGAGATTAGTACATAGATTCCACGGCAACTATGACACGGGCCCTGGTGGCGGCGGCGGTCGTCCACTGGGCGGAGGAGACGGTGGACGAATGGACGATCCTCCGATCATCATCGGAGGCGGTGGCGGCAGTGACGGAGGAGGAGGTGGCGGAGTCTTGTAGAAATGCGGGGAAGGATTAAGTTTGGGAGGCGGCGGAGAACGTGGCCGCTTCGCCGGCCGACGGCGAGACTGTTGCGCTGCTGCCTTTAGTTGGTACGGAAAAGACATGCGGTGTTTTCGGGAGATGTGATCAGGCGGTCGTCTCGCAAGACCGTTGAGGCTTTCGAATTTGTAGCCATGGGCGATAAGGGATGCTTGGAACATGAAGAAGATAAGCATGAGCTTCTGCCTTTAGTTGGTACGGAAAAGACATGCGGTGTTTTCGGGAGATGTGATCAGGCGGTCGTCTCGCAAGACCGTTGAGGCTTTCGAATTTGTAGCCATGGGCGATAAGGGATGCTTGGAACATGAAGAAGATAAGCATGAGCTTGATGGCTTCCATTCTTTTTTTTTTTTTGGAAGAATTATATGATGATGTACAAATTTGATGCCTTGTAACTATATATATACACACACACACATTTACGTGTATATAGTCTTCGCTAGACTATATATATATATATATATATATAATTCAATATAGGTATAGGTATTCCATCAAAGTCGTATAACAGTCTTCTTTTCCATTAGGGCAAGTTTTTCCTACGCTTTATATTATAGTATTCTTCGAGTCTATGATGGTTGCTGAAAATCTATAGAAATTCAAGCAGTCGATATTACTATGGCACTATATATATATATATATATGACATATGGATAACGCGGCAAATTATAACTTGTCATAATTTTGATATTCTAATATAATTTTCTTTGTTATTTTTGATTGACCATGCAAATGTTTTATCAAGCATATTTTATTTTTTGCTAAATTTGAAAAATGATATATATACACACGCACAAAAAAACGCGTGTGTGTGTTTAATTCGTCAAAAGAATATCGTCGGTGAAGTTCGAAATTAGGTATTGTTTACAATTTTTTTTTTCCACAGAGATGAAGAAATTCAACAACACGAGAAAACGAACGTACACATTAGGTCCGAATAATAGGCGCGTCGATTAAAATGCCAGTCAAATAGAAATATTCTATAACCAATGGAATTATAAAACAAAATAAATAAATAAATAAATAAATAAATAGTATAGTATTGGAGAAACTGAATACTTTGGGAAGTAGACCAGACGACACGTATTATTTATTTATTCATGGTGTCGATGCCCATGTGTTATGGAACTGTGGCTAGACAATTATAAATAATACTAATAACATACATACAAGACAATTATTATATACTTTTCATATTGCAATTATCATTTCAATATTACGATATGTATTAAAGTGTACTGATTTTCCAATTTTATACGAATTTAGACCAAATATTCCTCCAAATCAAATAAAAATAAAACATTACTTGGTACAAACTCGACCATTTTAAGGTCGACGGCCATTTAAAAAAGAACAAGTGTAAACGCTCTTTTTTACGTTCTCAAATATTTGTTTTATAAAAAATCTACACTAAAAAACGTAATCGCTCTTTAAATAATTCATTGACGTTAATATAACATAACATGAACATGATTAGACTTTTAATTTCCCTACTTTAAGGATGCGAACCAAAAACTACTTAAGATTTCATTTGTATATGATGGAAATCCTAATTTTATTTGAAATAGGAAGAGGAATTTTTTTACTTATACCGCTTTGTAATCATTAAAGAAGTATAAGAGCTCGTGATCACCCGATTTTTTCGAGTCTGTGTAACTAAGTCCGAAACCTAGCTCTGTATATTTTTTACTCGGGTCGGGTCGGGCCGGTCCGCATAATTTTTTTTGTAAATGTAATTTTTTTCTTTTTTTTTAAAAAAAAATATCGGGTTTTTGGACCGATCCTAATCAAGCCTAAAGCCCGATTTGAATCCGATCCGAAAGTCTTTTTTTTTCGGACTAGAAAAATTAGGTCCGAAACCCGTTAATTTTCAAGCTGGGCCGGGTCGGTCTTCAGACCTAAATTGATACCCTACTTTTTACAATCAATACATCGACCTAATGTGAATCTCGACACCTTTATCGAGCTCTAGATTGTGAAACGTCTTACATTCCATCATATGCTCTTCAATAATTCCAAGCACTTGAGAAGATGTTTTGCTGTAGTAAATTATATTCTACTATTGAGAATGACACGTCTAACTCGCAGACTCACAACCGTGGTAGAGAAATGACGTTTCTACCCTTAGCCAAAACCTCGTTGTTTCACTTATGCCTATTTCTTTCGATGAAACTCACTTTTTTCAATCCCTCTTCGTGCCCAAATTCCAAATTCCCTTTTGTTAACACCAAAACGGGCCGAAATAAAGAAAGAAAAAAAAACCCTCCGAAGGAGCCGGAGGCTCTCTAATACTAGAGGTATATGCCTAACATGGACCAACATTGCTTTGGACTCTGGGACCTATTCCGGTCTAATATATTGAAGTGTGACAAGTACAATTCTTTTATATATACTTAATGGTTAATAACCTAATAATTGAATCGATATGAATCTAATAATACATAACTATAAACTAATCGAATCCTATATACAAATTGGAGGGTTATTATTTCTCTAAAATGAAAAAGTCTAACCGAATAAAAAATAATAGAAAAATTATTTTTTTTTTTGAAAAATAAGTATTGTATTAATAAAAATCGAATATAAACCGAACCAAAGTAAAATAAAGCAGACCGAACCGAATTATATTTGATACAAAAACTAAATGGTGATAGTATTTGTAAAATCTAATGATACTCACTATATCATTTTTTTTTCTTGTGTTTTAATTTTTATTAAAACAATTAAATTATAAAAAGCTTTTGCATTTGGAGATATAAATATCTCGTACGGTTTGACCTGAAAAAAATAATAGAGAAGTAAAAAAAAGTGGAACGCAAAATCCAAAATTACAAGGTGGCTCCGCATATATAAACATGAGATATTCCCTCTTTCTGTCATTTCGCTTCCTTATCTCCGCCTTTAGGGTTTCTCTTCTTCACTACCGAAGCTCTCTCTCATGGCTGACGAATCGCAGTACTCCTCCGGCGACAACAAGCGCAAGTACGAGGAGCAGACCTCTCCTCCGCATTCCGTTGTAACCCGCAGGCCCACCGGCTTCTCCTCCGGCCCGATCTCGTCTGCGTCTCCGGATCCCGGGGTGGCAGCCGCCGCTCCTCCGCCGCCTTCGGACAACAGCGTTCCGCCGGAACAAAAAACATCAAACTGAAAAGCAAAGACTTTGTTCGCGTTTCAAACAATCACACCCATTTGCACGTGTATTTGTTTGCATACACTCATGTCTTATGTTCTTTTTTATTTCATTCAACTGGCTTTGAGATAGTACATATGATCTGTATTGATATGCAGAAATTTTTTACTGCGAACTCCGCAACATGGTGTGATCTGTTGGTCGCTCCAGGCCCGATCTCGTCTGCGTCTCCGGATCCCGGGGTGGCAGCCGCCGCTCCTCCGCCGCCTTCGTACAACAGCGTTCCGCCTCCGATGGATGAAATCCAGATGGCTAAGCAGAAGGCTCAGGAGATCGCCGCTCGGCTCCTCAGTAGCGCCGACGCCAAGCGTCCTCGCGTCGACAACGGCGCTGCGTTTGATTCCGGCGAGAAAGGCTTTAGCACTGGTCCCTCTGGTGCGTAAATTTTTTATTCTGAGTCTTTCATTTCATTTCTGTTTTTTGTCATTATTCGGCTGCTCCCACTGAAAATCCGTTGTTCTCTTAGCTTCTTTGATGCTTTCATAACTTGAGCAGCATGAGTTTTTAACTGTATGATGCGTACACCTTTTGGATTATATCGGGATTATTCCCATCACTGGATAGCAGAATTAGGTCTCGTTCCTCATTTTGCTGCTGGAAATTTGATGCAGATGGTAAGCCTCTGTCAGGTTCGGTTTCCTCGAACATACCTTTTTCGTATGGTAGCTACCAGGGCACCACGAAGAAGATTGAAATTCCAAACATGAGGGTTGGTGTTATCATTGGAAAGGGTGGGGAAACGATTAAGTATCTCCAACTTCAGTCAGGAGCCAAGATTCAGGTTACTCGAGACATGGATGCAGACCCCAATGCCCCATCAAGGATGGTAGAGCTAACAGGCACGTCAGACCAGATTTCAAAGGCCGAGCAGTTGATAAATGATGTCCTACAAGAAGTAGGCCCTCTTTTGATTGTTCTTCTCCTTACGTAAAATTTTTAATTTCATATGAAATAACTTGTAGCGTTTTATGGTGATAAACATCATTTATGCTCTCCATGCTTCCTCTATGGCGGTTGTGAAGTTAGAACACAGCTTCTCAAGCTTGATTTACTGTTTGTGGGCTGCTAATGCTTTAGCAACTGAATCTTGGTGCAGGCTGAGGCGGGTGGTTCAGGTGGAGTCTCCCGTAGGATGAGTGGACAAGCAGGATCTGAACAATTCGTGATGACAGTTCCCAATAATAAGGTACTTGGTGTTCTGAAATTTTTGTGGTTGTGGTTGCCCCAGTCTTGTATGTAATGCACAAACTGCTTCCAGGTTGGTCTTGTGATTGGTAAAGGAGGTGAAACAATTAAATCTATGCAAGCTAAGACCGGAGCTCGAATTCAGGTTTCTCTTCGATTTCATATGAATCTCGTGACGACAAAATTTATCCCGAGTGTCTGTTTGTCTTCAGCTTGTCGATGTTTGCCAAGTTGCCAACTCATGGTATTTATCTTCAGGTTATACCTTTGCATTTACCCCCTGGAGATACATCAGCAGAACGGACTATTCAGATTGATGGGACCAGTGATCAGATTGAGCATGCCAAACATTTAGTTAATGAAGTCATCAGCGGTGAGGTATGTTTGATTGTCGTGTTAAGTGTGAGTTGCCTGGCCACTTCGGTGTCTACTTTTCTTCTCTGTTGATCTGCTCTGGAGCTTTTCTTGGTTTTTTCATGCCATCAGCGATTCAGCATTAGGGTTTATCTAGTCAATTTTCTGATTATATCATTGAAAGATAAAGTCAGCATATCTGCATGCTTAGCACTAACCCTGGCGAAATCCTGTGCCACTTGTTTTGTTATTTTCCTTTTATGCTTCTATCTCGTGAAGAGTAATATGCATTTGTGACGGTGGAGTATATAGTTTTTGCCGTCCTTTTGGTTGCAGGTTAAATGTGGTGTTTTCATACTTATGTTTAAAGCTAGGGAAGAGAGTTTTACTGTCTTTCATTTAACAGATATATCGTTTTGACATTTTTATATCTGCCTCTTGCACCTTATTTAAGGGGTTTGCATTTTGCTCTTTCGTGTGTTTACACCCTGTAGAGTCCGGAGATATGCAGAGAAAGATACTTTTGTGGTTGCTACTACTCATTGCTAATCTGTCCGAGTCTAGCTGGCTTAGCCTTAAGAGCCTGCTGCAACGCAAACATATTGTTTAAGTGTGTTCGCATTTACGTTTACGTTAGCTATTGGTGGTGAAAATATGGAATAGGACATTCACCGTTTACCGTGTAAGTTTGCCCATTTTTTAAACTTTTTAGGATAACATATATCATATGTTTGAAACTATTGATTTTGAATTTTAATTGACGTGCATAAAAATATTTATCAATGTTGAATAACTTTTGGAACAAAAAACATCAAACTGAAAAGCAAAGACTTTGTTCGCGTTTCAAACAATCACACCCATTTGCACGTGTATTTGTTTGCATACACTCATGTCTTATGTTCTTTTTTATTTCATTCAACTGGCTTTGAGATAGTACATATGATCTGTATTGATATGCAGAAATTTTTTACTGCGAACTCCGCAACATGGTGTGATCTGTTGGTCGCTCCATTGGTTAGTGCAGTGCATTCGATAATATCAGTGTATTGGTTTAGACGAGTCTTTCCGTGGTTTTCAAAATTTATGTATGGAACTTTTCTTGTTGTGAATTTGTTTTATTTTGTAATCACACGAGTTATTTTGTCCAGCCTTTTTTCATGCTATGGTCCTTTTGCCCATGTTTTAACTTAGTTTTTAAGAGGTGCATTTCATTGTGCAAGTAGTTTTAGGTTTTTTTATTACAACTTCATTAGAATCTGGGTTCTGATGGCAGAACTAGCGCATACTGGTGTTTGAAGCTGTCAGTGATATCGTTTAAGGTGTTATTATCCATATTTTTTTTGTGTCAATCTATTGCTGACCTATTGGTTTTATATTTGCTTAGTTTGGCACGATTCTTCTCCCCCGACCTATCGAGTTTTTAGCTTAATCCTACCTAGGTGAACATGTCCCGGCTCAAGTCTATTGGTGCCTGTTTCCAAGGGAGATGCACTTACAAATGACACGGTTTAGTTGGTTTTAGACTATTTTGTATATGTTACTTTATTGGAAAAGCTTCTGTAGTATTTGTGGTTCTTTGTGCACCTATTTACCTCGGATAGGGAAAGGGATGGGCTTCTGCAGGAGTAACCCAATAATTTCACCGATCCGTACGGTATGTAGGCATTCAGTACCCTTCTAGAATATGATATGAACTCGGTTGATCCTTGTGAACATATTTGGTAATGGTGTTCCTTCTATGATATGCTTTTCTCGTTAAATAAGTTTTTGTTCGTTCATCATCTGCTTACGTCTTTGGTTATGTATACACGTGTTTTTGCTTTGTACCCCACCATGTTTCCTCTCTTCTACTGGTAGTTTATCTCTGCTTATTTCTCGGGTTTACCCTTGTGTACAGCATCGTCTTCGAAACCCGTCAATGGGCGGGGGATACCCGCCGCAAGGTTATCAAGCACGTCCTCCGTCAAGTTGGGGACCCCCTGGTGCCCCGCCAATGCAACAATCTGGTTATGGTTATATGCAACCGGGTGGATACTCGGGTCCGTCACCACCTCAGTACCAATCGCCTTACGGAAGTTACCCTCCGCAACAAACATCCGGTGGCTACCCCTCATCGAACTGGGACCATCAGTCATCTATGCCACCATCGCAGCAAACCACTCAAGGTGGGTATGACTATTACGGGCAACAGCAACATCCGTCTTCGCAGCAACAGAGCGGCGGTGGCTCAGCTCCTCCTCCGGCTGATGGCTCAGGTTTCAATTACTACCAGAATCAATCTGGCTATGGCCAACCTGTGGCGCAGGGTTACCATCAGGACGCTTATGGTGCATATCATCAACAATCTGGATACGGTGAACCTGGTTACGATCAGCAGCAACAAGGCTATTCTTCTGCATCTGGTTATAACGCAAATAACCCGAGTCAAGAGGGTGGTGCTCAGGGAGATTCATCGCAACCTCCGCCTTCAGCCCAATCGGGTCAGCAACCAAGCCCTAACCCGGCTGCTTACCCACCTCACGGTACTTCTACCGCTACTGCTCAGACCGGCTATGGAGCTCCCCCGGCATCTCAGGCTAGTTACGGAGGCCAGTCTGCTGGTTACGCGTCAGGCTATGGAGCCCCATCAACCCAGAAGCCTCCTTACAGTCAGAGCCAACAATCTCCGGGCGCTCCTGGGAGCTATGGGGGTCAGTCTGGGTACTCCCAACCACCGGCAGCTGGTGCACCTTTGTCGGGCCAGCAACCGGGCTATGGACCGCCACCCACTTATGGCAGCACCGCACCTGCAGGTGGTCAGCAAGGCTACGGCCAAGCCCAGCCGCCTATGTACGGTTCATACGGAGGATATACGCAAGCCATGGGTGGGTACCCTTCAGACGGGTCTGCTGCTGCTGCCGCGGCTGGAGGCGGTGAACAAGGTGGAGCGAAGGGGTCGTCACCGAAGAGTTGATATCCATGGAAGGCGTTTTTAAGGGGATTGGATGGTAAGGAAATAGTTTTTTGTATTTTTGAATTTTGGATGGTTAGAATGGGAGAAAGCTTTCTTATAATCCCAAACAGAAAAACTTTCTAACGGAACGGGACGTGAATTTTTTCCGTATGCGTTGCATTGTATTGTGTTTTAGATTTCTGTCCGGAACAGCGTTTTTGATAACATGGCTTTGTCATGGACTCTTTTATCTCTTTTCCTGTTTATAGTTTTTGTCCCAAACAAGGACATGAATGATGCATGATGGATGATGATGATGATGATATTACCATGACATGAGAAGACAAGTACATAATCATACGCGTTTCATTATACGATATCAACTGTCGATTTCGTATCATCGATCTCAGTCGTCTACTCATCAAAAATGATCTGAACCGTCCATTGTCTAATACCATATCCACCGCTGATCCGATCTCAACATCGTCGATAACGATAATTACATCTCAACCGTCGATTTAGATGAATCGATCTCAATCGTCTGTTAATAGATTCGGTCTCAGTCAGCCATATATGTTCATCGGATACGATCTGAATCGTTAATTTATTAGGAAACATCTCCACCGTCGATTATACGACAATGGCTGCATTGTGCTTTGAGATGAAATCTCAACAGTACGATCGAACGATTCAATCTAAACCGTTCATTTCCTAAAATCGAACTTAGCTAATCTACTCAAGATCCCAAATAAAAACATCAAAATAAAACCACATCCACCCAGTGATCGTTCATCTATTTATTTTATCAAAAGAGTTTTGTAGGAAAAACAAGTTACTATTTATATATAATCTACCAAATTTTGTCCAACTGAAATTCTATAAGTAAATACACGACTTTACTCTTTTTTTTTATATGCTAAATCGGTATTCTAATTTAGCTTTTAATTTTTGAAATACTCCGTAAGAAACGTTAAATTATCATAATTCAAAACCATTCAAATAAATATGTAAAAAATCTTTTCTCTCATATAAATTTCAAATATTCAAAATGTAAATTTTGAAAATATTATCGATTTCTATCCGGATTTTCAACGAGTAAAAAACACATATATCTTATTGTTACGGAATTTTAGTTGATGTACGTATTTACGAGACGTAAAATATTATTTATTTAATAATATTTTTGTTCAGTTTGTGAGCTTTATTTTTAAAATTACAAAGAAAAATGGCGTCCATTTTGGTAATTTGAGCGAAGGCCTAAAACCCTAGGGTCTCATTTCCAGCGTTCCTATATAAACTGCCTTAAGCTCCGGTCTCCTTCGGCCACTCTCTCTTTCTCCCAACCGATAGCCAGAGTTCTTCTACTAATAGTGACACGAAGAACACATCTTTATTTTGCTTCTCTCTCTATCTTCTTATACAGGTATCCGCCCTGGGTGATGCTGAATGCTAGATCTATGGCGTATGTGTGTTTATTTTTAGTCTTTGTGATGATCTAAAAAGCCGATTGGCTCCATTTTAAAGAGTCAACAGCAGACGCCGAACGATGGCGATCTGACTGCCGCTTGGAGCCGAAATCGAACCCTAAACCAGAGGAAGACCCATGAAATCTTGTTTTTCTTGTTGTTTCATGATTCAATACTCTGGTTACACTCCCCTTTGGTATCTTATCATTTTCAAGATATTTTATTCCAATTGCTTGGACTCCACTTATGTATTCAGGCCTCGTTTCTTCACTTGTGTGTTCATTTGGTTTCACGCAATCCAACTCTGATCTGATCTGAATCCATCGACTGGTGGATATTGTTGGTTTCTGTCATGGACATGTTCAAATGGCGTTCGGTGTGTTTGTGGTTTTGGATTTCTCTTCTTGTTTCGTCTGTTTGGTCATGGGCATGTTCAGACACGGGTGATTGTTGGATCAAGAAACAACATTACACCTTTTGCATGGTGCCTAGAATGACTTTTGCTGCTTCATCACGATTGGGGGGAGCTTTGCTACTCTTTGCTTCCTTCAAATTTAGAGCAGCAATATTGTTAGATTTCTCTCTCTGAGTCATTTGTTTTTGGGCCTTTTGATCATTCAAATATCATCATTCATTCTTGGTTTGGTCATTAAAAAGCAATCTCCTTTCTTTTGGTTCGGTGTTTGAGATCAAATTATGAACCAACGTGGGGTTTAGGAGAATTGGTTTGCATTGTATTGTTCCCGAAATTTAATTTCTTACCCGCCCATGGTGGCCGAGTGGTAGGCGTTTGTGGAAGCCGGTTCGAATCCATGGGAGGGTATGGATGATGCATTTAATTTCGATTAAATGTAGCAAACCTGCCTAGGGGCCGGCGTAGTTGTTGCCCGGAAACCATCCAGGTTAACTAAAAAAATTAAATTATGTATAATTTTGTTATATTGTTTGCTAGTTGTGTTATAATCGATCTTTGGAATTTTAATTGCTTCTCTTTCTCTTGGCCTTTACGTTTCATGAAAAAACAGGGGGGAAAGTGATTAAAAATAATAAATAATAAATAATTTTTAAAAGTTATTATTGTTAAAAAAAATATCAGACATTCATTTTGCTTATCTAAAAAAAGATTATTGTCCATAGTTTCGGATTATTTTTCCTACAATTCATAGTCTTATTTTTTAAATTTGGATTCGAATTATTATTGTGAACATATGCGTCGTCTAATTCCGTTGAGGTGTTTATGTTTTTTTATCATGCTTTTTTTTTTGCCTAAGAATAAGCTAAAAGTCACCAAGTAAATTACGTTATAATTACGTGGTTAGTTGTATATTTTCCACTACAAAACAAAAAATTGATTAGAGTTTGATTTTTAGACGTTTCAAAAAGTATTAATACTTTTTTTTAATAACCAGACGTTTCAGAAAAAAAAAATGTCATATCTGTAAACTGTTAAAAAATTTGGATTCGAAGTATCACTTCAATGCATAAATTTGATACAAATTAGTTATAAAAATACATATCTAGAAGCAATTATAATAATTAAATTAATATGACAATGATAAAATTTAATTTTAATAAAAATATAATATTTTTCGGATTCAATTAGAATAATTTAATTTCAAATATTACGTTCCTTAAATATAAAAGTAGTAATTATGAGGGGTGGGGTCCACTGCTTTCCCCCCTCTTGCGTGTAGATTAAAATTTCCCGGTGGACAAAAAGAGACATTATAACAATATATATTTTTTCATTCTTTTTCAAATAAACCGTTACATTTCATTGCCACCGAGAACGGTAGGACACGTAAGCGGAAGTGATGTGACACATTTATATACTATTAATATATAACCATTTAAAAAAAATACAATTCTTAGAAATATTTTCTGCTAATTGCACGTATTTGAAACGAACCGGCATGTATATAAATTTTCTACGAATAGGACATTAGTAAACTATTGGAATTTGAATAAATATTATAGAATGCAGAATAAAATAACTACATATTCAAAAAAATAAAAATCAATAAACCAAACAAAAATTGATAAAGCATAATTAAATAATTATAATTTTTTTATAAATTTAAAATGAATGCCAAAACAAAATTCTACATAAAACAAATAGATGGCAATGGGTCCCACCAGTTGAAATGGCGACGGCGTGATGCAAATATAAAGGAAAGTAACTGAAGAAGGAGAAGAACATATTATTTTTATTTACTATTTGTCCTCTTTATTTCTTGATCGGAACAATCTGCACCCCATTTTGCTTTTGTTGAGTATGTGATGACAACAAAGACAGTATTCAAGTCGACCCTTTACCTTTTTTTTTTTTGCGTTATTAAAAAAGTGGTTGAATAATTTATTAAATTTCTATTTTCGGTCACAACATTTTAAGAATTTTCATTTGGACCCACTAATTTAAGTCATAACAACTTTGGCTTTGAGTTTTAAGCATTTGAGATAATTTATAATTTTGAAGTATCTCTAGTCTTTAGTAAGAGTTTCCAAAATACAAAAAGTTTAAAGAGCCCATATGAAAAAAACAAAATTAATAAAAATAAAAACATGGAGCCTACATGAAACTTTTCTCACTTTAATATTTAAGTTTTTATACGGTGAATAAAGAAAAGTAAGGTTTATAATACAATAAAATATTTAATTTTCAAAATAATTTGGATTAAATAGGATTTTATATATTGATCAATACGATTTTTCATAGATTTAAAAATAAATAATAGAATGTAAACTATTATACTGCCATGATATATTATTTACATAGGATCTACAAAATTAACAGACAATTTTAAAATCGAAAAGCAGTTACATTTAGTCGGCATCAATAATAGTTATTTACATAATGGCACCATTTGAAAAATACAATTTGATTAATTTAAATAAAATAAAATTTTCGGAACTTAAAAATACTGAAAAAGATTTAAAGTTTCAAACTTCAAAGATAATAAAATATTTTATAATATCTATCAAAATATGTGCAAGACGTTGACACTCTTATAAGTTACAACAAATTCATGAATATATATGCCTCTAATAAATAGACTTCGATATATTGATAACGAGATATAATTTAATTTATCCGTAAAGTTGAAATTGACTTTTTCATCATTATGTATGTAACATTCATCAGGGAAAAAAAATAGGTATATGCACACACACAATTTTATATATATATATATATATATATATATATGCTTCCTCTATGGCGGTTGTGAAGTTAGAACACAGCTTCTCAAGCTTGATTTACTGTTTGTGGGCTCAACATTTTGTC